GGTATACGCGAAGTGAATGGAGGATGGGAGAGGAAGAGACGTGGCAGACAAGAAGCGCTTGAACCACACCGAGGGAATGCCGATGCATGCCGAGCATCAGCGGAGTTCAAAGCTGTCCCCGGCTCAAAGGCTTGAAGCATTCGCAAAGTCAGTCGTTTCATTGGACACATCCTTCGTTCGTGGCGAGAAAAATATTTTGGATGCAACAAAGATACAAGTAAGGTTAGTTACTGCCCTCAGGAAGCTTCCAATATTTTATTAGCCGGAAGTAAGCTCGTAGCTACGGTTGCAAGTTGGAAGAGCTCGTTTCCTCACGCTCAGGAATCTGTTAGGCGAACGGCTAGCCTGTCAGGCACAAATAGAGACTTAACGGTTAGCAAATTGAATTCGCGCCTGTACTCCTGGCTGTCCGCCGAGTAGCATCAGACCAGTCAGGCGTTTGTTCGATCATTTTGATTGTAAACCGTCAGTTACGTACACGACGGCGGTGTAGTACAGTACGTAAGCCATGACGAGAGTCTTCTCGTGAGAAGATAGTGCATCAGTATCCCCTCCATAGTGGACTGATTCGCTGAGTCGGTCCTCGACGTCCCCTGGACGACCGTCCACACTAACCGCGAGCCCAAGGATCAGGCCATACATCGACCAATCCAAACACTCTATTGGTGAGAAGTCTTGTAATCACGGTGCGCATCCGGTCCTCAATAGCGGATATCGATGAATCTGATGACCACTATTCCGCAGATGACACAAGTGTTCAGGGACATGCGGCTCTACGGTCATAGTAAGTTGGAGCTCGTGTCCATGAACGAGAGAACTAGCTATATCTTATCGCCCATTTACTATAGTTGCCGTCTTTTTGCTCGCGGTGACTGTCCTTGGCATAGGCGCAGATCTTGTCGGCACCCTTAGTTCCAATTTCCATCGTAAGTTCTGTACTTTTCTCCACAAATCCACATTCACAGGAGTTTGCACACATTTAGATGATTTCTCCATATTCTCCGTCGTTGTGTCGTCATTAACAATAGCTGCTTTCATTATACTGTATGAAGTTCATTACCGCCTAACTCGCCTGACGCAGCCCCAGCTCACAACTGGTAACTCTAGAAACTATTGGTCATGCCCTTTGGTGGAGCTGATCGTCCTATTTGTGCTGGGTGTCCTATGGTTAGGTGGGTGCCATAATACTCCCGTCTAGTCTTCGCTCTTGACAGATGTTTACACCAGCCACGGGATCTTGGTCTGCGTATGTTTCACGTACCTCAGGCTCATGAAGATGGACATGTAGCTGACTCAGACTCCGCAGGGATATTATGGGCAGCATACAATGCGACGCCATCAACAAAAGTCAGCGTATCGCTACAAAATCCGAGAGTAGTATGTTTTCCTTCACATAGCTGAACGCCTGTCAAGGGGCTAATAGTGGGCAACTGGTAGTGAGCGCTAGGATATGGTGCTACGAGATGACCATAATCGAAGTATTCTCTTGGATGGAGTCTGCCCTCTGTAAGCTTAATCCGTACTCTCATAAAAAGTAGTCCTGTTAACAGCGGTTTGCAGTCGTGATATTCATTTTGATCCTCATCACTTTGACAACTCGGGCAAAGGTTTTCGGTCGTTACCGCGCCTGGTCCGAACCCATCCTCGAGCTACCATGGTTTAGCGAGTATCCGGCCTTTGGAGTGGGCGAGTCGGAAGCGGGTGAGAGCATGGGTGGTGGATCTGGGTATTACTCTCCGAGATCCGTGGCAGGTTACCCAACTGGATTGCCGCCGCAGGCGTATGGCATGCCGCCACAGATGGCGAACGGCGGATACTACGTGCCTCAGCAACCTGGGCACTCGGTTGTCATCAGACCTGGCAACAATGAAAGGCCACCTATCATTGAGCAGGTACCGGCTCGATATTGAACGATAGTATGATACGAAAGTAATGATACCATGGATGTGGTTTTAAACAAACGCTATTATGAATGTACCTGACTGCGACGTCAGAAATGACTTTAGGATGAATTGGTTGCGACTAGGTTAGCGTGCCTGTTCCTCATTTCGTTCAAATCGTCCTTGGAGATCCTTCGAGAGGGGCATCAGAGAAATCGGCCGAACATGCGTTCCTGCAGGGCGTAGTCGTGGTGATCGGGTCTTGCGGCCAGCAAGGATGATCAGAGTTGCGCCATAAATACCCTGCGAAAAGCGACGATAGAAAGCTACTGCTAAGTATAATGCGAATAGAGCTGGCCCACGACGAGTTGAATCAGAGAGGACCCCTCGAAGTTCTCAATGGCGTTAGAGAACTGTTGCAATGCTGGCGTCCCACTTTTAATCAAGGATACAGGATTCACAAAAACGATATACGTGGAAATCAACAGGAAGAACTTATTGATGTCCTCATCAGCTGCGCGTTCAGAGTTGTCTGGAACCAGGACTTACCCATAATATCGCGTACACTAGCCCAGGTTCGGTGAGGAGCGGGCGACGGTCGCCGATCAGTGGTTGTGTCGGCTTCTAGTTCGGCTGGCACTTACTTCGTGGTCCGAGGCATGAGGGCGGCAGCCCAGAGATTGCTAACCCAGGACATCGCCAGACCGAGAAGGTACTAGAAAAAACGACAGGCACAACGAGCGTGGCTTCACATCGTGAGACGGCTGATTCATTAGTAGATATTGTACTACAACGCAATGCTGTTGGTGCCATGCAGTAAGTACTACTAGTGGCCGCGGTAGCTAGGACGTGGCGTCGGGGGATACTTAAATTCGAAGCGTTAAATAAATCGGTCTCCGACACCTACTTCGCAGAATGCCGATAGAATTCAAACTCCGAGTACTAGCGCCCACGGAGGACCATCCACAAGAACGGGTTTCACACTTCCGCAATTTATGTAGAGGCTAGTTCACGAACCTACAATATAACGGAGACTGCTCCATCCAAGCTCTACCAACTTCGATCTCATTGGACGGCTCTCGCCTTCAGAGAGGAAACAGAGCCGCTGTCTCTCAGGTAATCATCATATCCACGGCCGACCACATCATATATACAGTACTCTCGCGAGGTCACCTGAGAATGCTTTGGTCGCGTCTTGGGATAGCCGCATATATTGCCTCAGAACATATCTATGACTACTCTTATCACGTAAGAATTGCCGCCCCTAATACTTCGTAGAGGCTGACAGCTGAGTCGGGCAGGGCTGGACACGGATCTCAGTACGGACTCAGGCTGACGACTCAAATGTCCCTACTTAATCGAGGGCCGAGGCTGGGACGATCCAGAGCCCCTTGTTCTTTTCCACGTCTCTCGCCTTCTCCGAAGACACAGGATGTCTGGAGAATTTCTCAGCGTACACGTCGAGCCTGGCAGCAGCATTTCTTCGAGGTCTTCTGGCAGGACCTCGATGACCAGCGGAAAGGAGAGTATCGGAAAAGAGAGTACTAGCAGCACCACAAGCACTGCATCCGGAAACCCGCTTGTGGAGTGCTCTCAGGCGGAGATCCTCGAGGATGCGGAACGGTTTGCCAAAGAGAATGGCTTGGAGCAGTACGTCGAGGTTATCAAGAGAGGGGCACTCGTGGCGCGGAACCCGACCAGCATTGACCACATCCCTGGACTCACGGACGAGGAGAAGGCGGCACTGCAGCACGAGCGCGACAAACCGTGGTCTCAGCCGTTCATGCTGTACTACTTGGTGATTATGTGCTCTCTCGCTGCCTGCGTCCAGGGGGTACGTTCCTCGCGCGCATGTACACATACATTTGCCATTAACACCTGTTTTAGATGGACGAATCAGTCATCAACGGGGCCAACTTGTATTTCCCTAAACAATTCGGCATCGATCCCTACGCAATGAGCAATAGTGGCTCGGATCGCAACCAATGGCTCCTCGGCCTGGTAAATTCCGCTCCCTACGTGCGTCTCATCCTGCAGATACCGAAGCTCAGCTAATTGGAGCACATTTTGCAGCTGTGCTGTGCCGTTGCCGGCTGTTGGCTCTCGGCGCCACTGAACCGTCGCCTCGGACGGCGGGGCACGATCTTCGTTGGTGCCTCTATATGCCTGGTTACCTGCATCTGGCAGGCAGTCTCAGACTCATGGCCGCTTCTCTTCGCCGCACGGTTCGTCCTCGGGCTGGGCATCGGTCCCAACTCCGCTACGGTGCCTGTGTTCGCGGGTGAATGTGCGCCGACGGCGATTCGTGGTGCCCTTGTCGGGATGTGGTATGTTCGGGCAGCTTGGCAATTTGTACAGCAATCTGACGCACAGACAGGCAAGTATTCACGGCGTTCGGCATCATGCTGGGCTATGTCTCGGACCTGGCCTTCCAGACGGTACCAGACAGACCACATATCCGCGGTCTCAACTGGAGGCTTATGCTCGGCAGTGTGAGTCGTCGTTTACTTCGCAGATTCGACACTCCTCACAGCTGTGGTATAGGCGGGAATACCAGCACTCTTCCTTATGGTGCAAATCTGGTTCTGCCCTGAGTCCCCCCGATGGCTCGTCTCGAAAGGTCGCTACGCCGATGCATGGCGCTCCTTGCTGCGCCTGCGACACTCGCAGATTCAGGCAGCCCGGGATCTCTATTGTACGTTAAGTTTCCAGAGTCCTTATACGTCTTAATATGTAGCTGATATGATCTTAGACATACAGGCCCTCCAGAAAGTACAGATGAAGGACAAGCCCCAAGGGAACCAACTTATCCAGCTGTTCGCAGTGCGACGCAACCGCAGAGCCACAATTGTTTCACTCATGCTTATGTGAGCCGCCAGAGCAACTTTCTACGAGCAAGGCTCACAGCCATTGTAGGTTTATGCAGCAATTCTGCGGCGTCAACGCGATCGCGTACTACTCTTCAAATATCTTCACCGATTCCGGATTCAGTAACACGCAAGCTCTGCTGGCGTCGTGGGGCTTCGGCCTGACGAACTGGCTATTCGCGTTCCCGGCGCTGTACACCATTGACCGATTCGGGCGTCGCAAGTTGATCCTCACATCGTACCCATTAATGGCCGTGTTCCTGCTCATGACCGGGCTGGCTTTCTTCATACCAGATCAACAGGCCCGCATTGGCGTCATCGCTGCAGGCATTTATCTGTTCACCATCGCATATTCACCTGGCGCCGGCCCTGTGCCGTTCACAGTTCGTCTCCTGTTGTCTCTGACTCGCCAGAATTATCTAACACCACTTTAACACCTCACAGTACTCGGCGGAAGCGTACCCGATGGCGGTTCGAGACTTTGGGATGTCGCTTTCGACGGCCTGGCTTTGGTTCTTGTGCGTACTCTCGTAGCCTCTTGCGTATTCATGCTAAGGCGGTAGTCGACAGTAACTTTGTCGTAGCGATCACGTTCCCCCCGCTCGTCGGTGCATTTACGGTGGCTGGCGCGTTCGCGTGGTACGCTGGCTGGAACTGTGTCGGCTTCGCGGTGGCGTACTTTATTATGCCCGAGACAAAAGGCCGATCGCTCGAGGAGTTGGATCATGGTGGGTGCCTGGATGGTATTGATGTCCCAAACGTTAATTTGTGCTTGGCAGTGTTCTCCACGTCGGGTCGTGAATACGCGTGGGACAAGTTCAGGTCGTGGAAGAGGTTTGGACAAGGCACGAGGGTGTTCCGCCGACGCCGCGGCGGGGACAGGCGGCTCTACGATGTCGATGAAGACTCGCGGGCAGGGGTAGCCGTGTAGGAGAGTGTTACAGATATCGAACGCTCAGAATCAATTTTTTGAACGTCTTCAATAGTTGGTCCGCCTGTTGCGAGGTGCCATCCCGCATGACGGGGCTTGAACTGCTTGATGTGGCAAGCGTCTACCTTATCCAAGCTGTTGGCAGTGCGCGGCAGTCACGGCAGTCGCGGCAGCCAGTCGGCACGGCCGGGTCCTCAACCAACAAACAATCTTTTTCGTCGTCGACCGTGCCTTTCTTCTTCCTCCTCCACCATCGCGGACGGTTTCGGTCTGCTCCTCGTCAAGCTCGACATTCATTATTTCAGCACCTCTCCTTAGATTTTTATCCAAACAGTCTTTACAACCTACCGCCTGAACATGAAGTTCGCCGTCGTCGGAGCCGTCGCGCTCCCCCTCGTTGCTGCCGTCGCGCACCATGGCCAGGATCACGTCGCTCACCTCGCCCGTCAAGTCCCTGCCGTCGCCTCGTCGGCTTCCACATCCGCCGCTACTGCCTCTAGCGCAGCTACCAGCTCCGCGGCCGCATCCGCGTCTGTGACGTCCTCTGCCCCGGCTGGTGCTACTTCAGTGGTAGCTTCAGGCACGGGTGTGACCATTGGTTCGCTTACCAGCGGGGCGTCGTCTGCGGCGACGACCTCAGCAACCTTCAGCTCGCTCCCTTCGGTCTCGTGGTTCCTCCCGTCGGTCAACCCGACCGCGCTTCCGCTCTCGGACATGGGACCTGGCACTATCACTACTCAGCCTCAGCTTGGCGCAACCACAACCTTCCCTGTTGGAACCAAGCCTACTAATATTCCGAACGCACCGCCGATGCCAAACTGTGAGTATACCGTAGGATGACGTGCATCGTTCCATGCTAACACGCCCTGCAGGGCAAGCTCTCTCGCCAGCCAACTATCCGCCTCTGGATAAGCCGCCCCCGCTAAATTCGTCCGAGGTCCAGCAATGGATCCAGGAGGTGCAGAACTCAGGCATCCAGATTCCCGATATCGAACCCACTCAGCCTGGCGGCTGCGCCGCCAACCCGGCTTTTGCAGCTGACACAACACGCTGCTGGTGGACTTGCGGTGGCTGCGTTGCAACCGGCGACATTAGTAACTGTCCCACCCCGTACACGTGGGGTCTGACGTACGACGATGGTCCCGCCCTCTACACTCCTAATCTTCTGCAGTATCTCGACCAGAACAACCTTCAATCAACTTTCTGCGCTGTCGGCTCTCGTGTCATCTCCTACCCGGCGCTCCTTCAGGAGGAGTACATGGCCGGACACCAGATTGCAGCACACACCTGGTCCCACCCGTATATGACCACCGTTTCTAACGAGGGCATTATAGCCGAACTCGGCTGGTCCAAGAAGGTCATTAAGGACGTCCTTGGTGTTACTCCCCTCTATTGGCGTCCACCGTATGGTGATATTGACAACCGTGTTCGTGCCATCGGACAGGCGATGGGATTGGAGCCCATCATGTGGACTCGTCTTGACGCAGCCGCAACGTTCGATACCAACGGTGAGTGCCTAGGCTCACTGTTTGAACGGGCGCTGACAATCATTTGTAGATTACAACATCGCTGGCGGTTTAGTCAGCGTCACTCAGGTGCTTCAGAACTGGGAAAACATCATGGGCAATGTCTCGACCCTTGGCCACGGCTTTATCGTTCTCGAGCACGATCTCTTCGCGCAGACCGTCGACCTTGCCACGGGTTACATTCTTCCTGCCGCAATGGCGTACACACCCAAGCTCGAAATTCAGCCCGTTATCTCCTGTCTCAACAAGCCGATGGCCGACGCCTACCTCGAGACGAATGATAACGCGACTAACCCGTTACCGACCGGCTCCAGTGCGTTCTTCTATATATCCCCGCTCGCCATGGCGTGCACCGCTGATTTATTTATTTATTTTGCAGATATCAATCCCACGCTCACTTCGGGCGCCCCCGGTTCAGCACAGGCCACCGGCAACGCGAGCGGGAACGCGAAGGCCTCTGCCAAGAACGCCGCAGTCCCTGTCGCAGGCATTAGCTCGACGCTTCTCGCAGTCAGCTTGTCCGCTGCTGCCCTCGTCGCTGGCTTTGTCGCACTGCTTTGATCAGCTCCTAACGCGGGCTAGTGTCCTATTCTCGTTTTGTCACAGCCTCACATTCTCGTCGTAGTGTATCACATGTTGTTTAGTCTATGCAATCACAGGCATACCCTCAACTTCTTGTAGAGCCCCTGCATATACCGCGGCTGAATTGATTCCTCTGCTATACTCTACACCGCTGTGGCCGGAAGCGTACATTGGAGTTAGCTCGGTGACACCCGTCCCGCCACTTCAAAACAAAGAGAAGGAAAAGTAAGCCAAGGTATGATATATGAAGGCTCATCGGTGCACCCCTACTCATTTCGTGAGCTTCGCCGCTTGCTCCCCCGCTTTGCGCCCAAACACCGCCCCGGCAGTGAGTCCACTACCTCCGGGGTAGTTCGAGTAGAACAGACCGCCTACAAGCTCTCCCGTGCAGTACATGCCTTTAATGGGCTTCCCCGTAGTTTCTGAGAGAATGCCTGCAGTGTCGGGGTCAATGGCCAACCCGCCGAAGGTGAAGGTAATCCCGCAAGCAACTTTGACCGCCAAGAACGGCCCTTGTTCTATGGGCAGCGCCCAGTTGGTCTTCGGGATCTCCAGTGAAAAGCCATTACTTTGTGTAGACAGTCCGTCCTTGATAGCGGGATCCCACCGCAGCGAAGCGTTCTCCGCCTGGAAGCGTCGCACGGCGTCGTTGTAGCTAACGACAGTGTCGACGAACTGGCACCTATTCTCGAGGCCCTCCTCCTCCAACTTTCCCGCCAGCTGCTCGACGGTGTCTGCCCAAATCTTGCGGACGACGTCGTCCGCGTACTCCTCCTCCTCAGCCAATCGACGACGCGCGAATCCCAGACCTGGAAAGCATACCCTCCTGGCTGCATCAGGATGGCGCGGCCGAATTTGGCGTAGGTGTAGTTCCGGAAGTCCTCGCCTTCGTCGACGAAGCGACGGCCATGGGCGTTCAGCATGAGGCCAAGAGGGTAGCCCGACTTGGTGAATTGATTGCTGAGGGTGCGATCGCCCGTATCTGAGGGAGCGTTGGCATCCCAGCATGTGGAGTGGCATCCAGCAAAGTCTCCTGTCAGAGCAGCACCAACTGCTGTCGCGAGAGCGATGCCATCTCCCGTGTTGTATGGGGTGCCACGGACCTGGGACGTTTGTCATCACTTCAGAACACATCGCAGAAAGACTTATGGTCTCACCTTTGCATTGACCCACTGCTCTCCAAGATATTTTGCCCTCAGCGCTGTACTGGCTTCGTAGCCACCGGAAGCCAGTATCACCGCCGGTGCAGTAAGCTTGGCTAACTTTCCGGCCTTGCGAACGATGACTCCGGCGATGGCATCATCTTCCAGAACCAATTCGACTGCAGGGGTGTCAAACCATGTCTGCACTCCAGCGTCCTGCAGAGCTTTGTGGTGAGCGGCAATGAGCCCTTTCCCGCCATCCTGCGTGCTAAGCGCCATCCCTCCCCAGAATCTCTGTCGTCCGTTAACAAGGTATGCTTGTCGGTTGAACGACAGGGTGAATGGAACATGGACGCGCTCGGACAGCCATTGGACGGCAGCCCGGGAGTTGTTGACGAGAGCTCTAACAAGCTCGGGGTCCGAACGCCCGTTTCCTAGTCTCATGATATCAGCAATGAACTGCTCATGCGTATATGGCTCGACGTCGGTGTGTTGCGCCTGCACGGGATCGACATTGTGCACGATGGGAAGAATGTCTGCGAGGCCGCCGTGGACAGTGCGATGTGCGCCTGCCGTGAAGTACCCGTTTCCGCCCGCCCACTCTGCGGGACATTTGTCGATGATGAGAACGCGCTCCAAGCCAGCATCTGAAGCTGCAAGCGCAGCGCAGCTACCTGCATTCCCAGAACCGACGACAATGCAGTCAAACGAACTGTCTGCCCCGGCCATTATGCCGTTGAGTCTGCCTGTACTGATCAGTTATGCGCCTCCTTGCTCGAGATAAAACGTCAACCTTTCTAGGGACAGAGAGGGTTAGGCTGAATGGCCTGAGAGTCATGTCGGACGTGGAAGACCGAAAGTTCACCTGAGAGCAAGTTACCACGGTCCGATGTGGCCGGATTGATGCGGGCTTTCTCCGCCAGACATCTTTGTGGCGTCCGACTGTCCCCCCAATCACAGACTTCGTGCACTCTGCAGGGAGCTCTGTGACCAGTCCTGCCCTTGGCCCGGCGATCTGGCGGCTGTAACCGATGTTGCTAAGCTATAGGTCAGAGTTTTCACTCAGGAAAATTCCGTGATAAATCTGCAAGCAAAACGGTAGTGATGCTTTTTGGTGTCCCGAACCGAATTGAACGAGTACAAAGACACGGCTGGTACTCCATATGCTACCGGACTATCTGCTAGGCCATGTCTCAAAAGAGATTGATCGACTGACGTGTATTTCCACTGCTGTCGACAAGCAGATTGTCCTGAGGTTTAGGCCAAATCAGTGGGTCTATCCATCGCATAGTCACGTAAGCACTCACAGAGCACGAACTGCCGAGCGCGGCACTTCCAACCCAGCCAGGTTCCCAATACACTACGCCCAGACCATGTCCTCCAGAAAGGCCGCTTAGCACGCTCTCGATATCCTTGACCCAGATCTGTTGTCCAGCCACCGACTCCGGGATGCTAGGTTCTGATAGCGCGACTGACGACGGACATGCTACTGGCCAGTCCGTCTCAGCAACGAGAACATCCTATCATACTCTTCAGCAGCATGCCTAGCAAGTACAGGAGTCACGCACCTTGTTAAACTTCGAGATCACGCCGTTAAGACTGGACTGAAGGGCACTCAGAGTGGCGCCGGTACCGTAGAAGGGATAGAACGAGAAGCCCATGATATCGACGTCAGACGTCGAGAACGCTCCAGGGGCGATGATGCCGTCCCAGAAATCATCAACGCTTCCCGAGTCCCAGCCGTTCGCGATGTGGACGACGATCTTCGTCGAAGGTGATCCCGTTCGCACACCAGAGGCGGCAGAGTGCAGAAGTTCAGACGCGGGGAGATACCCAGCTGTGCTAATTTCGCCTGTGGGCCAAAGGAGACCGTTGTTAATTTCATTGCCGATCTGGATATAGTCGATAGGTGTGCCTTGATTACTGAACGCTTCGACAAGATCGAGCGTGTACCTAGCGGCGAATCACGGCGAATGTTCGGTGTGCTTGACTGTAGAGTTATGCATAGAAACTCACGTGTAAATCTGGGTATTGAGTCCGTTCAGATCCGTAGGCCAGCTAGAAGGAATTGCTTGGTGACCAGGATCGGCCCCTAGGGCGGTGTTTTTCGATCAGTAGGCCGTCAAGGTTGATGCGTGCTACGTACAAGTATCACTGTAGTGCAGGTCGATGAGAATCTTCATGCCTGCTGCTTTGGCGCGCTTGGCAAGTGCAAGGGCGTAACTCTGCGTATAAGTCCCGGCGGTCCATACACGTATACGAGCCAACTCGAATCCATGGCTCGCCAGGATCTGCTCAAAAGGTTTCACGACGCCGTTGTCCTTGTAAATTATTCCTTGGGACTCCAGAAGAGAAAGTGAGGAAAAGTCAGCACCATTTAGAGGCAGAGCTAGTATTTGCAAGACGGGAAGCAACAAGCAGAGTAAAAGGGCACTGAGCTGCATCGTAAGGTTCGAGGCGAACGTCGTGAGCTTCACCATACGCACCCTTTGTGACTTATATGTCAGACGAGGCGGAAGGGGGGCCGCGGCCGGCTCGGTGAAACCGAGCGTACTCCACTTCTTTGCATAGGTCGTAACCAATCATGGGAGCAACAACACATGAATAGCAGAGAGTTGAGATGGCGTTGGATCCGCTGACTATCCGCTGACTAAATGGTCAGAAGTTGAGGCGCACTTCGAAGAAGGTGTGACTTACTTTCCCCTGCAAGTAGTGTCTTCCCGAGCATTTGAAAGAGAAGTGAACCAGCAGTGATGGATTTGAGCGTCCACTTGCATCAGGTGATACGACTACCTTTCGTATTTGGTTTCAACAGCACGAACTCGAGTGGAAGCCGACAAAGATGCGTATAGTCGGCCTCGTTTTTGATAGTTTGAGGCCGAAAAAATTAGTGTCACCTACGAGATATAACGCACGTGGCGATACAACCCGCACTGTCGGTAATAAATAATATCCTTCACTGCCATACCCCGTCCGCGTTGCGCACCAGTATTCGAGCGTTATTGACGAAGGCACGGATGAGTTCGTCGAATGCACTGCGCTCTACCTCCGACGCATTTAGGTCTCCTCGTTTCGCGGCAGTTGCCAAGAGGTAGTCGGGCCTCGCAAATTCCACTTCAAGTTCGTGGAGAATTTCAGGCTATTTGAAAGAGATTGTGGAAGCCTATATGATAGCGAGAGCGAAGCACTCACCTTGCTATTTGGCCCAGTAGCAGAGGTAACCTGGGTAAGGTCGATGGTAAATTCTTCGTGAGTGTAGCTCATCCGGTCCTTCTTGCGCGTGAGTGTCGGCGACCCGAGTGGCGGAGGAACTGAGGGAGAAGTGAGCTCGGGTCCGACAAGTAGAACCGCAACGTCGGACACACCAGGAATTTCCATGTTCACGCTTATACGCCAATCGGCATGACGTTTCGGACAGTAGATGTCTATGCTGCCCAGCCGTACTTTTCGCATGACAGCGACGACTTCTCCAGACTTCTCATGGCGGGTGACGCGAATTTTCTCCCTGTCTTGCGGGTCGTCACTCGCATAGAAGTTGTCTATGAGGTGAAGGTGCGTGTACTCTAGCGGAGAGGACGGGTGGCCTGGTTGTGATGACTTGAGTTTTAGTTCATTCAAGAGCTTATTGAAGTGCTTATGTTGAGCCTGTAGACCCGTCGCATGAGGAAGCGTGATACGGGGTACGGTATCTTTGCTCTTACAGGAGACATGTTCGATTCAAAGCGAGTATCAAAGGAATTTGGGGAAAGTACTATCTCTGTTGTAAGGTCAGGTCCATTTCTAATGTATTAGAGGACATACTAGTCTCGACTAAAACTGGGAAGACCAGTCTTTGCCCTGACGCCTTCTCCCTCAGAACCCCAATCTTTGCCTCCACTTCAACTACCCCGCCGCGGTCTGGCCTGTTCATTATCGTATGATGCACAAAGTCGGCCACCTCTCGAATGAATTCATCCATGGGCTCTACGCCGAGTATAGAGAGTGAGAGTGGAGGCATCTCAAAGTGTTGCTCGTGCCCATTAGACTCTGCTGGTGGCGTGCCATGGCGGGCGCGTTTTGCAGGACGCTGAGCATCGTGGTCGGCACCGGATGAAAGGGACTTGATGTCCATGCAGCAACACACCGATATTTGAGAGCGTCTGTTCGTTGCAATCTCGAAAGTTATGGTGGAGAACGACAAGGCTCGGACTTGTCCAGCAGGCCCGTAAGCCGGTCAGATTCGGCGCCTACCGAGCTTTCTTGCCTTGCCGCCGCGCGAGGTCCGTCTCTTACCTCCATCATGTTCCGGATATCTCGTTTGCCTACGTTCGCGGTCGTGGGCGCGTTGAGATGTCGCAAGTTAGCCACAGCAACAGCTCAGCTTCCATCGCAGTCGCACGGTCATCTGCCGACCTCGCAGTCACCCATTACTCCGAAGCTGCAGTTCTTCAACTCCGTTATGGAGGACGGGAAGCAGATACCCACTTATCGCGTCCTGGATGGCACTGGGAAGGTCATTGAAGGCGCACAGTTGCCAGATGTACGCCAATTTGACTATTTTGCGAAATTTTGCGTCTTACATGGTGGTAGATTGACGAGGATTTTGCACGGAGGATGTGAGGGCTGTGTCTACTGAACCTCCACTGTCGCTCAAACAAAGCAGATATCAGAATATGGTCAAGCTGCCCATTATTGACACGCTCCTTTACAACGTTCAAAGACAGGGCAAGATATCTTTCTACGTAAGTATTGCCACTTAACTCCCAAGCAATCCCGAGTGCTCAGAGTCAGAAATATAGATGACCGCCGTGAGCATGACTTTGATTCTACTCTAGTTATCCGCTAAATCTCACAGGCATGACAGTATGGTGAAGAGGCCGCCATCCTGGGGTCTGCAGCTGCTCTCGCAGCAGACGACGAGTAGGTCCCCTGCCGTCCTCGGATCATAGTCAGCTGACCGTTATCTCAGGATCTTAGGTAGGATTACGTGCCTCACGCCTACTTACGCCATGCTTATCGCGCAATGCAGGTCAATACCGTGAAATGGGCGCGCTTCTCTGGCGTGGCTTCTCCTACGATGAGGTTATGGCTCAATGCTTTGGCAACTGCGAAGACACCGGTACGAAGGGCAAGCAGATGCCCGTGGTATGTTTTCACCGTCTCTTGATCTTCTTCTTCTCAATATGCCTTGAAGCATTTTGGTTCGCGAAAGTACCACTACCACACTATCTCCTCTCCATTAGCGACACAGATCCCACAGGCGGCAGGTGTGGCATATGCGCTCAAGCGCGATCCTTCCCGACGGGGTCGCAACTGTGCGGCAGTATACTTCGGCGAAGGCGCAGCATCTGAAGGCGATTTTCACGCTGGCATGCTTCTTGGTAGGCCACGCCATGCACGAAGCCTACTGTCTTCTTATTGACCCTACACGTAGCGTCTACCATTCCTAGCCCAACGCTTTTCATCGCCCGAAACAACGGTTTTGCAATTTCAACTCCCGCTTCTGAGCAATATCACGGTGATGGCATAGCTGCTCGAGGACCAGGTTACGGTGTGCAGACCATCCGTGTTGATGGTAATGACGTCCTTGCCGTACTCGCCGCCGTAAGAGAAGCCAGGAAGCTCTGTCTCGAGGAAGGGCGCGGTGTCCTCGTCGAAGCGATGACTTACCGGTAAGCTTGGTTGGCGACAAATTCCGGCATTGGTTGCTGACGAAGGCACCATCAGTGTTGGGCATCACTCGACGTCGGACGACTCGTTTGCTTACCGCCCAAGACAAGAAGTCGAGGACAGAAAACGCGTCGACAACCCCATTGCGCGTTTCCGTCTATTCCTGGAGTCTCAGGGCTGGTGGAACGCTGAGCAGGAGGAGTCGTACAAGGCCGAAGTCAAGAAAGAAGTTATGCAGGCATTCAAGCGTGCTGAGAATCTACCCCGTCTCGAGTTGCAAGAGATGTTCACCGACGTCTACGGTGGCGATGAGCCTTGGAACATCGTACGCACATGAACATTATGCGCGACAGCTGTCATCCTGATCCGTTTTTGCAGAAGGAACAGCGGGAAGAGCTGAAGGCATTGCTAAAGAAGTACGGCAACACCTGGGAACCGTGGAAGGCAGAGCTTAAGAAGTACCGAGGCGAAGGTAAAGAGCTGCTAGAAGCCTGAGGTTGCCGCGTGCCTCAGGTATTCTGACTGTACAGTAGTGTTCCGCATAGTTTCGCTGCGAAAGCGAGTCCTGTATATCTCTCAGCTATCTTACTAGTCGGCATGACAGCCGTACTGTCGTGTACATATTTGTATCAATGCGACCCTCGCGTCGCCAGCTCGCGTTGTCATACAAGTACTGTTCTTGGTGTCCTGCCTGCTATCATGGATGAAATTTGGAGTTGCCAGATGCCTAGGTGATGCCGGAAGAGATGATCGGGACTCGCGCACGCGCGCTCTCTCGTAGACCAGATCTAATCGACTCATCATCCAAACCGTTCTTGGTCAGCAACAGAGACTGCATGAAGATAGCTCTTGTTTTCGATGAGTCACTTTGCATGACCTCAAACACTCATAGGGCCCTTAGCAACATCTAAAGAAAGACAGTCATGAAGCTGCAGTCAGTGACGTTAATTTTTTCTCATAATTGTGCAGTCGTTGGCCTCTGACTTCGACTGGGATTAGACCATGCGCATGCATGTCGCTCGTCGTCTTGGGCCTGTTCCGCATTGCATTGGTGTCCCGGAGACTCATCACTACTCCTGGCGGTCCCGCAAGGGCTTCTGATTGGTATATACTGCATGAGGAAGCATGATCTTCATCCTCCTACGGGACACCCGAACGTTGCGGCCTTAGCAACCGGTCCCTCCGTCACCCGTCAACGTAACTGAAGACCTTCTTGATAGAGCTCAAAAGCCCGGCGACAAGGTCGGGCTTGCGGGCGAGTGAGAAAACTTAGCTCATACGGGAGTCTGGGCCGCCGTACTAACTTCTCTTGGTGCGTCCATGCGACCAACGAGCAACATACTTATCTCCATGGCATACTGAGCATCCCACTTGATCTTTTGGTTCCCCGTCTCTGCTGCCCCGCCGCGCGGTCAAGGTCGCCGCACCATCCAGGCGTACCCTTTCACGGTCTCGCCATGACCTTCGTTCGTCTCGCCCTGGCCTGCACGCTGCTGGCACTCGGACCGCAGGTCGTCCTTTCGTTTAACACCATATCATTCTCTGCCGTCGAACAATGCGGCAACTTCTCCGTACATTTTTCTGGCGGCAAGCTTCCCGCCTCCCTTCCCCTCACATTAACTGTCGTTCCCTTTAATCTCACGCCAATATCCATCGCAATCTCGACGTACACCTGGGACCCATCTAAGCTTACCGGAGCAGCAGTCACCTTCCTTCCATTCGCTGTTGACACCCGGTTTGTCGCGTCTCTGGACGATGCCAATGGTGTCGGCACGGGAAATGTCTCGGAAATCCTGCAAATCGATCCATCCAGCAACACATCGTGTCTTCCGATGAACTATCAGTCAGTCGCCGAACGCTATCAAGTCGCAACTCCATTCTCGCAGTGCCAAGATTTTGACGTGACGTACGATCCATCCATAGTCGATACACCGCCCGCGGTTCGCGCGTTTGTACCGAAAGGACCCTCCGTCTTCCTGAACCAGGATGTTACTGCAAGCTCAACGGGAACGGCGAGTTACAACATGGCCGTTTCGCAGGGAGAGCAAGTAGTCCTCACGTTCAGCGATGACACCGGCTTTCATCAGGCGTCTGACCTGCTGACCGTTGGGGGCAACGCTTCCAGCTCCGCGAGCTGCCTACCGAACTCGCAGTCAAGTGCGATGAGCAACCAAAACTCCTCTCCACAAAGCCCAGGTAGTTCGACAAATTCAGGCTTGTCGAAGTAAGTCTTTCATTGCATCCCATGCATATCCGTCTGACTCAAAGCTTGGCCGAACAGGGGTGGGATCGCCGCTGTGGCAGCTGTTTGCAGCGCGACTATCGTTGGTATTGCTGTGGGCATGGCATTCTGGTTTAGGCGCGAGCGCAAGCGCGTTGGATGGCGAGGCAGGAGGGATGCAGAGAATCCACCGTCGGGCAGCTACCGCGGACCTGCCCATGATGCGAAGGTCTCTGTGTACACTCGTGGTGGTGAGCGGGGGTTCTCTCGTCGTTCTCTCATCAACCAAAAGTCACTACCGAACACCCCCACCATCGCATCCTGGGGCATGAACGACAACGACCCCGCGACCCTCAATATAAGAAACCCGCCTTACACAAGGGCTGCACTCGATCTCGCAAGCCCCGTAACACCCGAATCGGAGGCCACTCCGACTTCTTTCACTTCCATGGGCCGCGGACGGCCGCCGTCCATCCCCATCCCGATGTATACACCGAATACCGCGGTGAATCCTCTAGATGAGACACCGCGAGACAACATATCTATCACGGAGCACAGCCGGGGAACGCTTTCCCTGACGTCGGACGAAATCGAAAACATCCTGGACATGGCAACCATCTACTCCGCGCCTGCGACACCAGGTACACTGCGGTCGAGCATCCTGCAGGGTGTCTTACCCAGCCCAATGCCGTCATTCATGGTTTCACAAGATTCTGACCGCGTTGGAGGCGTAGCGCGCGAGATTCCACCGCCAAGGCCCAGCGCGCTCCCTGCGCTGTCTATCCCGAGCGCGAGCACGCCGGGGCTGCTCACCCCTATGACTGCAAGCACACGCCGCGAGCCACCGCATGCGCAGTTACCGTCGTCTCCGACGCCCTCGACACCTGGATTCCGTCGCTCGATAGATGCTGCCAGCACACGCCCTTCCAGCATAGGGAATTGGGACTTTATTACCCCAAATTCATAGTATGTTTCCATGTGTTTCCATCATCATGCGTAACGCCGCGATAATGAACACTCTGTGTGACGCCGCTTAATGGCTCTCCTGCGTACACTCACTACCCACGCGCTTCCGTGAAATGCGTCTAAAATTCATCTTGGTTTGAACGACGACTCGCCTGTTGTACTATAGCACCCTCACCTTGTACGAGTAGGACTACAGCTACTGCCCATGTACCGATTCTGCGGCCAGAAAGTACATAATGAGACCACAAGCTCTCAGATTTCCTTACCCGGACTCGAGGGTATGACAGCGACGTTCAAAGCAAGCATAGAATGCATACGACAACACCAATAGCCCTCGAACGTGTCGATGAACAGGCAGCTGATCCGGGCTGGGCCCGCTTTGCATCGGAGGCAAGCTGCACAAGTCCTCCCGAAGGGTATAGGCTGATCGGGCTTGCCTGCGTGTTGAGAACAGGCAGATTAGAAACGCGCGCCCGTAACGGGCTCCGTAGGCCTCCTGAGTCACTGAATATCTCAAAGTCGAGATTATGTTTCATCCCTGGGCAGTTTTGCAGCCTCTTCCCGAGCTTTTCTCCTACTTCCCATCAGCAGCTCAACGTAGTCCGCCCCGCCAAGAACATGGCCATCAGAGTCTTCTCTGCGTTTAGCAGAGGCCTTGGCCTTGGCCTTCAGGCTAGCTTTCTTCTTCTCCTCAGCAGGGGCAGGCTGAGAGACGGCCGGTTTAGAGTCTCGCTGAGCAGTGCTGTTGGCCGGTTTTTTGGGCTGGTTTCACCGTACTGCATAAGTGCACGTTCAGCTCTCGTAGTAGGGCGTCGTCACACACCTTTTTCAAAAATTTGGCACTGCGGCCCATAATCACAGAAGTGCGAACAGCTGGCAAGTCGCCGTAAAGCCTGCACAGCACTCACGAAAGCGATTCAGTGCTCGTACCAAAGTGGAAGTTTCCCACGCCCTATCCGAAAGCTTCAAGTTCCTCCGAGTCTTGTGCTCCTCAGGCGACGCCTCACTGTCAATTAAGAGCCTGCATACAAAATGCCAGAGAGATACTACGGAAGACCTACTGCGCGACGCAGTCGTGCAATCATGTCTTTCTGCACAAGTAGCCAGGGTCAGTCTGACCCGAGATATCTGTTCGGCTCGTCTCCAGCTAATTTGCGACCCAGGACGTATCGATCCGCGGATGGCCGTATGTTACAATGCGTTGTCCATCGAGATAGGCCTCAAACTTTTTGCGTTTGCAGTTCTGTCCCACGAAAGGCCCATGAACAAAAGAACCTACTCGGACTTAGATTGAAATATGGTCCAGCTCGTGGTCCATGACTGTTGATCTTTTAGCTCGTCCGTCCGTGGCTAGCATTCGCAGCGAGGATTTGGTGCTTGGGCTTAAACTCTGGAGGTGCGCGTCTTGCGCTCCAGCATTCAATTCTCATCAACGTAACCGCGCATGCGGTGATGCGCCCATAGACGGGCCCTCTGAATTCTCAAGGGCCGAAGCCTGGATCTATGCCGGTTCCGTAAGGCTCACATGCTTTGATGGCGGTTATAAACCTATGTTGCCCGGCCTTGGACTCCGCAGGCTCGTTGTTCCGTCATGTCGTCGACTGCTTCGCCTGCAGCGCAGGTACTTCCGAAGTTCGACGACACCTTCGGCGCAGCCCTCGTAGGAGGCTTCATTGCTGCGACGTGAGTTCTGCCGTCGTATGTCAGATAGATGGCTGACACTTTTACCAGTTTGTTTGGTGTCCTATGCATCCAGTGCCATATGTTCTTCTTGAAGTCCTATGGAGAGAACGTATATGTGAAAGTTTCGGTACGGACTGCGACTGTTCACTGCGTGGACGACTTGTTGACGGCGTTTGCAGATTGCTTTTCTGCTGTCCGTATCTTCTTTTGAGATCCACTTGCATTGGTGGTAAACCTCATACCTGTCACAGGGTATTCAACGCCATGCACACCGTGTGTATAATCCATAGCCTTTACTGGTGCGCTGTCTGTTGACTGTATCATGCCTCCTATTAATCGATTATCTCTCAGGTTCATGGTCACAAATTATTTGAACCCTCTCGTGTTGCTAGAAGCTGTGCCCTGGTATGATGGAACTGTTATCCGTTCTCTTGGCGAGATCTCACCAGCACTCTTCATACGACCGTCGACAGGAGCCTACCGGTGTGTAGTAAATAACTGCCACCTCCAGCCAATATTGATCGATGCTCTGTCATCAGATTACAGTTTTTTTTACGGTGCGCCAACTTGAACAGTCCACATAGAGAGGGTCGCTCATTATCTGCATCAGGGATGGATTGACTTCACCGTGCAAGGGTCGGTGGGGCATTTTCCGTGCTTTTGTGGACGAATTGACTGATTAGTTTCGTCAGATGGTTCACCTATCGAGTATGGCGAAGTGAGTGCCTAGCGCGGCTTGTCACTCAGGGTGTGATAGATTCAGACATCTCTAGTCAGCAAGCACAACCGGCTCTTGACTTTGGCTTTGGTACGTTCCCGCTGTGCTAGACCGCGGCGTGACTATTTCTAAGCGAGTTCGTCTAGGCTGTACTTATTCTCGTCGTCTTCGGTGAGTATTTCCAGAACATGACGGCCCTTGAGCTCAGATGTACTGTTAATTCCAGGGAATTGCATGGGTAGGTTACACTGTTGTACGTTATTTCACTGGATTGACGATGCAATGCAGCACTAGTCGCGAGACTGTACGTCGAAACAGTGTCGTTTCAGATAGTCTACATCTCATGTTGTTATCACAGACTCCAAGTGAAGACGTTCCCGGACTACTCAGAGGCGAATGTAAGCGTATATCATAGCTCTCGAATGCCGCCCTGATCACCGGCCGTGTGTTTAGTGGCTGGTCTACTTCGGGCTTGCATTAACTATCGTCACCGACCTCAGCATCGCTCTCACGTTATGCTATCTGCTACGGAAGTTACGCAGCATGGCGTTGCGTCGGTACGCCATTTTGTAGTCTTTCCCTTCCTCGAATCCTTAACTCTCTTGAATATGTAGGACGCGCTCAGTGCTTAATTACGTTATGGTTTACGTTGTTAATACCGGTCTCTTCACAAGGTACGCGCCGGCTCGCATACCCTCCAGACAGAGGCTAAAACATTATTAGTATTGTTTGCATTGCTACCCTGGTCTCGGTGTGTGGAGCCCTTATCTAGCACCCCTCTCAAACACTTCTCTAATTCGTTTTGGGTGCCAGCGAATAGCCATGCAGGATAACTTCGTCTTCGTCGCCTGTAAGCATCAGCTATTGCATCTTTTTCTGATACGGTTGAACTAAATTTTGTGCAGTATTCTATTCCCTGGGCAGCCGTGAGTGTGGCTTTCTTTCTCCTATTGCTGCCTTCTTCACTGAGTCCTCACTCCAGTGTACTCGAACGCTTTGCTTGGATCCCTCAACGCGCGGGACTGGTTCCGTAGTGGCTCTGCTAAGGGGCAAGTCTCGATTCCGTTGAGCACCGTGGCTTCAGGCAGCGAGCAGAGCAATACCCGCCCGATAGCGTTTGCGCCTTACGACGACAATCTGACGGTTCGTGCAGATCGACGACATATTGTGAATGACGCTGACCTTTCTTCGCGTATAGCATCAGGATAGCAGTATGCCAAGCACGAGAGGGAGACAGACAGATGTTGAAGCAGATGGCGACGCTGTGAAAGCAGCACTTTGACCGGCGCGACCCCGTCCTTGAGTCCCATCCGTCTTTTCGCCCACATACTACTGGCCTAGTCTAAGCTTACACTACACTCGTTCTTATTTATACACGGACAATAATAGTTTAAGTACCTCATTCTCTGCGCATCGGCTTGCCTGGAGGCAAGTGGCGCGAGCCTAAACGCTCCTTTGAAGGCGCGGCGTGCTCATGTGGTATAAATTGTCTACATTTGTGAGCTGTACACCTACAATACGAACAGCACCTTGCGAGTTCTCACGACTTTCAGAGCCAGCGAACAAGATAGGGAATAAATTAATAATGGCTGGATACGGGCCGGACTAGAGGGAACCGTGAATCGTACGGGCATGTGACTCGCATGCGGAAGTCTCATAGGTCGTCCAGGCCACAGCTCTCACCTCCATCTTGCCCAGCAGTACAGCATTAGTACTAGCAACCCGGACTTTGAGATGACAGTGGAAATCTGTGTGGTGGGCTTTGGAGGTAAGTGTCTGTGCTCTTGGTTTTATGGTCACGAAATCAATTTGAGTCTCTCGGGGAACCAGCTATCGGAGCGCTGTATGCCTTCGCACTGGAGCGATCCTCAGAGGTCCACTTGACTGCCGTATGCAGGTTAGTGGAGAAATTCGAGTTGACCGATAGGCCTCTGCTTATTGTCGAATAGATCCAACCATATTGCTGTGCGAGGTAAGCAGCCTTTTACGGGCACTGCCTCATTCATGTCCGACGACCTCTTGCAGAGAACGGGCTAATTATTGAATCGGATAAACTGGGTACTCATTCGCCATGGCATCCATATAGAGGTATATTTTACTCTACATCGTATCACGATCTAATCTGCTCATACCGATGCACATGCAGTCGTTCGCACCGTAGAGGAAGCCGCCGATCGTCCGTATGCTTTCGTTATCTGTGCCGCAAAATGCCTTCCAGACGTCGGGCTCACATCCTCAATCCTTGAACCTCTTCTGAAGACCCTGCCCTCCACACCCGAAACTGCCATTGTTCTTCTTCAGAATGGGGTGGGTATCGAGGAGGACGTGCAGAAAGCGATTGCCGGCAGCGGCGCCACTAATCCCGTCTTGTCTGGTTGTGCATGGGTGGACGTAACTGTCGTTGACGGAGGTAAACGAGTCGTGCAACACGGCAACGAACGTTTAGTTTTGGGATATCACAAGCCGCCCCAAGGATATACCTCCACGGACAACCGAGGCCCGGACGCTCTGAATAAGCTTTGCAGCCTGTTACAGTTTGCAGGAGCTTCTGCTCAGGTAGCATCTGATGTGGATGCTGCTCGTTGGCGCAAAGTTCTGTGGTATAGTCATGGTTCACTTGCATTCAACATTTAAGTCATTACACTTACCATGCACCTGGTAGGAACGCTTCGTTCTCCACGATGTGCACGTTGACTCGTACGACTGTGGGCGACGTCCTGGCGTTGCAAGAGTCGCGGCAGGAGCTCAAGGCGATCATGCTCGAAGTTCTAACCGTTGCGCGGGAGATCGTTACAGAAGAGGGTGCCGCAATCCTCTCTGATTCGGTCGCGGATGCGGTCATTCAGAGCGAGAACCCTCTATCGGTATTCAAGCCATCCATGCTTGTCGATCTGGAAGCTGGAAGACCTATGGAGGTCGAAGTTATCGTTGGTGGAATAGTGAGAAAGGCCCGGGCGCATAGTAAGAGTACGCCCCGGCTGGAGATGATCTACGCAGCGTTAAAGGTCATCCAGAAGGGGCTGATCAATGTCAGGAGTTCGGTCTAATCTTATCTGTGGAATGATGTCAAGCTGTACTGTCACGTGCCCCGAAGTCGGCCAGGCTACGGCATTTTGCTCCATACTCGTAAATGGATGGAGATAAGGAAAATGTTACACCCCAGATCCACTGGAATGGACATAGACTATTATTCTACCAAGCGGTAAATTTTTTCCGTTGTTGCTATAGGCACTATGAATATTTTGGTGAGAGGACTGCAGAAACAGCGCTTGGCATAGATCTCGGCCGGCCAGGCGCACGCCAGTGCTCAAGCAGGGTGCTTAACGTTGGCCGGGCCGCCGAGAGAGTACACAAGTCACCATCCGGCCTTCCACAGTCGTTGCACAGCGCAGATTAGGAATATAACGCATGCGTTACATTAAATATAGGTAGGGGCGGGTTCTGGTGTAGATAGATGTTGGGAAATTTGCCTGTTCTGTTTCTATGGCACAAAGTTCAATGCAGGCATGAAAATAGCAGGTCAGCAGAGATGTGCCTTTGGCACACAACAAAAAATGATAAAATTAAGAGAGCGCAAGAGAAGTAAATTATAACATATACAGAAGCCATACCATGTGTTCCCTGCGCCCCCAACCCTTTATTGCAAGTGGTGATGCCCTTTTCCTTGGACATCTCCAACACCGCCCAAGCTGTGACCTTGCTGTTCTAGCTGTGCCCAGAGAACCCTGGAGGCGGAATTAGACTGCAAAAAGTTGGGAGGCAGTAGTAAATACCCTAATGTTGATAATGGAGGCAGCTATACAGGGTGGGGGTGGTGATGGGGTGGAAAGAATGGTCGTCAATGAGAGGGGAAGGTCTGGCGCGCTACCAGAATTAGGCATCCTGGCTATTTTGGTGCAGTAATGCACGCATAGCTCAAGTCCCCTTCAACTGATCTTAATACAATTATACAGTCATATAGAAATGAATACTATTGATATATTTGAGGCCCATATTATGCTACAACAATATTTTTGAGCCCAGAATACACGGTTGGCCGAGTGCTGGGCTTGGCCGATTAGAGGGCGGCTAACAGTAGATCTAATCTAATCTTGAACCTGCTTCCCAAATTTTGCCTCGACTTCATTTCGTAGGCGCCTAAGCTTTGAGCTATACTTCGACCACCCAGTCTCAACTAGCTGGTCCCGCAAAAATGACTGCGTCAGGCACGTTCTACGACCCTCTTACTATTAATCTGGAGCAGCAAACGCGCTTTTTTTTGGAGACAATCCCCAAAGATTCACTCCACCACGCTTTGTCAACCGCATCAGCCCGCTCTGAGCTCCTCCGACGTTTGTCCCGTGCACTCTCGCTCCCTCAGGCAACAACCGCAATTGCCACAGCATTCAGGCCTATATTAACTGATCTATGCGTCAGGTGGTTAGACGATGATGACGACGAAGAAGATAAGCTCGAGGCGTTATGTTTGTTACTGGAAGTGCACCCGGAGCTCTTTCCGTGCGTGGTACTGCGCCGTTCAAAAGAAGTGTGTACTCAATCTTCTTCTTCAGAATACTATCTTCCTTCCTCCGTCGCCCTAGCTTTACCGGAGGACCATTAGCATTCGTTGAAAAAGTGGAGTCTGTAGACTCGCTCAATGCAACCTCGCTGCACCGGATACTCTTGGCGTACTACCGTATCTTGCAAGCAAATCGAGAACTTCCGCGCCTATTTAACTGGCCTTTGTCTGCCTTGGCCAAGCTCATATGGGATGGTTATCCCGACGCTGGTGTACGCTTACTGGCTGTAAGATGCTACGCGCTTCAAGCGCGAATGATTGAGGCAGAACGCGTCAAGTTGGAGAAGACCGTCATTGGAGAAGCGGAGAAAGTCGATTGCCCTGTCTTCTACGGCGTTCTTCCTGACGGCATTAGACGTGTGCTTGACGGCTGGATTCTCCCCGTGATAGAGAGGACAAGAGTGGTAGAGGCACGCAACGCGCTTCTCAGACTGCAAAATTATTACACACACCGCGATGACTCAACCGAGCCTATTCATCCCGCAGAGTTGAGGTATGTGGTGCCAATGCCTGTCAAATTTTATGTTGATAGGTGTTACCCTCATTTAGCCCCCTAATTGCGAATGTACATGGAGTCCTTCTACTCCGAACATCGCGTACAGCAACATCTGACTCTCCTCTGGTTTCTACCTCAGCTACTACGAGTGCCTTGCGCTCTCTAGCTCTCCACCTATCACTCTCCATCCCTACCCTTCTGACTTCTCCGCCTTCCTCGGGAAAAAGTCTTCTCTTATCACATCTCGCCACCTCCGTACACCCTGGCGTACGGAATCAGATTATTACCATACACCTTGCGGACAATTCGCTCGACCCGCGGTCACTGCTTGGCTCGTATGTCTCTTCTCCCGTCCACCCGGGTACGTTCGACTGGAAAGAAGGAGTGCTCATCCGGGCCATGCGCGAAGCCCGATGGGTGGTCTTCGAGGACGTAGATCGTGGCAGCACTGAGTTATTAGGTCTCATTCGGCCTCTCTTGGAGTCCCTAAGCGCGGGAAAATGGGTAGGAGCGCGAGCTGTGATGGAAGTTCCTGGCCGTGGCCGTGTGGAAGCTGCTGAGGGCTTTGCGGTCTTCGCGACCCGGTCTCTCCACCCGTCACGGTCAGGCAGGTATCCTTCGCCAACATTCTTCGGTTCGCATCTCTTCCAAGAAGTAATCGTAGACTCCCCTACGCATGAAGACCTTCGCTTGATTGTGAACACTCGTTTTCCTCGCCTGGCCGGATCTGTCGCCGAAGGTTTAATCAAGCTTTGGGTGGCAGTCCGTAGTTTGGGTTCCATTGCGTCCACGCGGGATGTGGGCATGCGCGAGCTCGAGAAGCTCTGTTTGCGCGTTCAGAAGGTACTGCCCTCATCATTCTCCTCGATGAATGTCGATTTCGCCAGCGACGACTCGTCCTCTTTGGCCGTTATTTTCCCGAATTCCGTCGTACGAGAAGACATATTCGCCGAGTGCAAGGACGTCTTCTTCGGAGTCGGCGCGACAACAGCCGCTGTTCGTCAGCACCTCGAACTCATATCATCAATGATCGCGGAATACTTAGGCCTTTCTCCCGAGCGCAAGGATTGGGTCCTGCGTGGACGTGTACCGGACTTCAACATCGACAAGGACGTCAATGGCTCCGTCACCTGCGTGCAGATAGGGAATACAAGGCTTCTGCCTTCGCCAAAACCGGATCATTCGATGCCTACAACGCGACCGTTCGCAATGCATAAACCCGCTGTCTCCCTTCTGTCTCGTATTGCAACTGCCATCTCGCTGAACGAGCCAATCCTGCTTACAGGTGAAACTGGTACAGGAAAGACGAGCGTCGTGACTCACCTCGCTTCATTGCTACGCAAGCCGCTTATTTCTCTGAATTTGTCCAATCAAACCGAGTCGTCCGATATCGTTGGCGGGTTCAAACCTGTGGATGCGCGGGTCCCAGCTTCGGAACTCCAGGCGCGCTTCTCGGACCTATTCGGCGGCACATTTAGTCGTAAGAAGAATGCACACTTCGAGGAGTCGGTTCGGAAGGCCGTGCATGAAGGAAAATGGAAGCGTGCGGTGGTTTTGTGGAAAGAATCAATTCGACTTGCCAGGGATCGCATCCAAGCGAAAGCTTCAGAGGAGAGGTGAGCCCCTCTTTTCGTCTCTAATCTGCATGGCAGCAAAAGGTGACATCCTGTTCAGACAGGCTGATGAGCCACGAAAGCGAAGGAAGATCGATGCAAGCAGTCTGAATGTCTCAGAAACGAGCTGGTTAGAGTTCGAGCGCGACATCAGCATATTCGAGATTCAGCATGTGCAGGGCAACGGTAAATTCGCATACGGATTCGTGGAAGGACCGCTTGTCAAAGCCCTGCGCGCTGGTCATTGGTTAGTGCATACTGATCACTCGATGGTGGTAGACTAACTGATGATAACAGGATTCTACTGGACGAAGTCAACCTAGCGAGCGCAGAGACGTTAGAGTGTATTTCCAGTCTGCTACACGGACCCACAGCCTCGATCACTCTTACGGAGCAAGGATCCCTAGAGCCCATCCCTCGCCATCCTAACTTTCGACTTTTCGCTTGCATGAATCCTGCAACGGACGTCGGCAAGAAAGACCTTCCTCCGAATATCCGCTCTCGTTTCACTGAATTCGACGTGGCTCCGCCTGACGCAGACAAAGAGACTCTGCTCAGCATCGTCGCGCAATACATTGGGCCCTATGCCGTAGGCGACAGAGGTGCTATCATGGATGTGGCCGAGTTCTATACGTCTGTCAGGACGTTGACGGAGAGACGCGAGATTGTTGATGGGTCGAACCACCGGCCGCACTTCAGCATGCGAACCCTAGCTCGTGCGCTCACTTTTGCTGCTGACCTCGCTGGGTCCTATTCACTTCGCCGGGCACTCTGGGAGGGCTGCCTCATGGCCTTTACAATGATTCTCGACAAACAAGGTGTTGCAGCTGTGACTGCCCTCGCGCAGAATCACATTCTCTCTGGCGTGAAGAATCCTCGCTCCCTTCTTTCCATTGTACCCGGTATTCCTGAAGGGCGTTCCGCAGATGATGTCGTCAAATTCGGTCCATTCTATCTTGACCGCGGCCCCTTGCCAGAAGACCCTGCAGAAGAATTCATCATGACCCCGTCGGTCGAGGCCAAGCTCATCGACCTTGCAAGGATCATCGTAACGAAGAGATTCCCTGTCCTAATCGAAGGCCCCACGTCATCAGGCAAGACCAGCTCGATCGAGTACCTTGCCCGGAGAACTGGGCATCGCTTTGTTCGTATCAATAACCATGAGCATACCGACATCCAAGAGTATCTTGGCACCTATGTATCAGACCCATCGACTGGCAAGCTCGTCTTTAAGGATGGACTGCTAGTTCGTGCCCTGCGGAACGGAGAGTGGATCGTACTCGACGAACTGAACCTTGCTCCAACGGATGTCTTGGAAGCGCTCAACCGACTGTTGGACGATAACCGAGAGCTGGTGATTCCCGAAACTCAAGAGGTAGTTCGCCCACATCCGCACTTCATGCTTTTCGCTACACAGAATCCACCGGGGTCGTACGCGGGACGTAAAGTGTTATCCCGCGCATTCCGCAACCGATTCCTGGAGGTGCACTTCGAGGACGTTCCACAAGCAGAGCTGGAGACCATTCTTTGTCAGCGCTGCCGCATCGCCCCGTCTTATGCTGCTCGCATCGTCGCTGTCTTCCAAGAGCTTCAGAGACGCCGACAATCGAGCCGCATCTTTGAAAGCAAGCACGGTTTTGCGACTCTGCGAGACTTGTTCCGATGGGCAGGCCGCGATGCCGCCAGCTATCAAGAACTCGCTGACAACGGATACATGCTGCTGGCCGAGCGGGCTCGTCGAGACGATGATAAGACGGTCGTGAAAGACGTCATCGAGTCCATCATGAAGGCCACTGTCAACCCTTCCCGCCTCTACGACCTTCATGGTGAGGTGAATATGTCAACCTACCTGGGCTGTCCGGTGCCTAAGGAGGCGCAGCTCGTTTGGACATCCGCTATGCAACGGCTATTCGCCCTCATGGCCCGCGCTCTGCGATTCAATGAGCCAGTCCTCTTGGTCGGAGAGACGGGTTGTGGGAAGACGTCGGTCTGCCAGCTTTTTGCAGAGATTACTGGCAGGAAGCTTTACACGGTCAACTGTCACCAGAATACGGAAACTGCAGACCTCATTGGCGGGCTGCGCCCTCTACGCAATAGGGCGGCGCTGGAGGCAGATGCCTTGCGTGAGGCGAGGTCCGTCCTGGTAGCGTTGGAACGTCCGATACCTGATGAAGCTGAGCTGGTTGAAACGGCCACTGCCATAGACAGCCTTCTTTGCGATCCGGCTGTCGGTGCCGCCGATCGTCAGGCTCTGATGCAAGCTAGAGCCTCACTAGTTCGTCTGTCTACCATGTTCGAATGGCATGACGGCCCGCTTGTCGAAGCCATGCGAACTGGAAGCGTGTTCCTCATGGATGAAATCTCCCTTGCAGACGACTCCGTCCTGGAACGGCTCAATAGCGTGCTGGAGACTGGTCGAACGATTGTGCTCGCCGAGAAGGGCGGAGCTCAGGATCTTCCTGCTGTAGCCGCAGACGGCTTCTTCAAGCTCGTGGCTACCATGAACCCTGGAGGCGACTACGGAAAGAAGGAGCTCTCTCCGGCCTTGCGCAATCGCTTTACGGAGATCTGGGTGCCATCCGTCGATTCTCGGAGCGACCTGGAGCTAATCGTTCGCAGCATGTGGAAGCATGAAGCTCTCGAGGGCTACACGTCGCCTCTCCTAGACTTTACCGAATGGCTCTCTGCCCGGGTCGGAGATACCAGCGTGACGAGCTTGCGAGATGTCTTGGTGAGACCCTGCGCCCTTCTCAACCTCGACGCCATTAACGTCGATTGTGTCAGGCATGGGTGCAATTCTCGAATGCGGTGTATGACCCGGACCGGCTACATGTCCTGTCGGGGAATGTAATTTTCGTAAGCACTTTTGATATACTCTTCAGAACGCATTTCAAACAAACCTTCCCTAGCACCATGCTGCTCATATGACATTCCTGGACGGCCTAGGCTCTCTACCACAACTATCGTCGTATTCCCCAGCTACTCTGGAAAGACTCAAAGCGGACGCGACGGCCAAGCTTCAAAAATTTGCTCCTATCTCTCCAGGAGACTCTGACCAAACCCTGGATCATGACCCGTCACGCGTTCAACTTGGCTCCTTCACCATACCCAAAGGAATGATGGACGTCAGTCCGGACCAATTCAGCTTCGAGGCGCCTACTACACGCGACAACATCAATCGCGTCGCCAGGGCATGTCAGCTGGGTAAACCAATCTTGCTTGAAGGCAGCCCAGGTGTCGGGAAGACGAGTCTCGTCGCGGCATTAGCGAACGTTTGTGGTCATCACCTGTGTCGTATTAACTTATCAGATCAGACGGATCTCATCGACCTCTTTGGTTCCGATCTTCCCGTCGAAGGAGGAAGTCCTGGTCAGTTTGCGTGGAAAGATGCAGAGTTCCTTCGCGCACTGCAGGAAGGTCACTGGGTCCTACTGGACGAGATGAACCTGGCACCACAAGCGGTCCTTGAAGGGCTCAATGCCATACTGGATCACCGAGGCACCGCCTCCATTCCCGAGCTTGGACGCAGCTTTAAACGCCACCCATCTTTCCGCATATTTGCTGCACAGAACCCGCTGCATCAGGGTGGGGGCCGAAAAGGCTTGCCGAAGTCTTTCCTGAATCGGTTCACCAAGGTCTACGTGCAGGAACTATCTGGCGATGATGTCCAACTTGTCTGTCGACACCTCTTCCCCACCATACCAGAGGCTTGGATGCATGGTATGATCACCTATATCACTCGTCTCCAGGAAGAAGTCACTCTCAAGCGATCCTTTGGGCGAGAGGGCGCTCCATGGGAGTTCAACCTCCGCGACGTCATCCGCTGGGCCTCCCAAATCCAGCAGCCAGAGCAAGGATTCGTCCATCCTGCTCATTTCATAAACACTCTGTTTCTTCAACGTTTCCGCACGAGGGGCGATAGACACGTCGCGCTGCAGCTATTCCGCAGCATCTTCTCCGAGGTCGACTTCAACATGATGGAGCCTCCTTACCTCACTGTCTCTCCGGCCTTCGTGAAGACCGGTCGCTTCATCAACCAGAGATCTGGAAGCTTGCTTGATAGACCTTCTGGAGTCGTTCTCCAATCCCAGCTGTCGGCCCTGGAGTCTCTCGGTGCATGTCTCGCCAACAATTGGCTCAGTGTCCTCACGGGATCCCGGAGAAGCGGAAAGTCTTCTCTTGTGCGTATGATAGCGAACCTCACAGGTAACAAACTGCACGAGATCTCCGTTAACAATGCTACCGACGCCTCCGACATACTTGGCAGCTTCGAAGAAGTTGATTCCCGAGTTCGCATTCAAAAGCTTGTGCAGACTGCATTGCATTACTTCAACGAGACAGCTTCTACGTCCGACGGCTCGAGGCTCTTAACGGCTTCTCACTTGCATCACTCTGTCACCACGCTGTCTTCATCGCTCGAGCAAGACTTGCAGGTTGCTGATGTGCTATCCGCTATCGCCTATGTCCGTGATGCATTGCTTAGGATAACCGACGCTCAGCTACCAAAAAAGGCTGAGATCATGCGAACGCTTGAGGCTATTGTAACGACCAGTCGCGACGGCCTGGGACGGTTCGAATGGGTAGATGGGCCACTGGTTCAAGCCTTGAAGGATGGGTCCTGGGTCCTGGTCGACGGCGCGAACTTGTGCAGCCCGTCAGTGCTCGACAGGCTTAACTCGCTCTGCGAGATTCGCGGTCAACTAACGCTGAACGAGCGAGGCGCAATCAACGGTGAGGTAGAAAGCATCACCCCACATCCCAACTTCCGACTCTTCATGTGCGTGGACAGCCAATTCGGAGAATTATCAAGGGCCATGCGGAATCGGGGCGTCGAGATCAGCTTGCTGCCTGTAGACAAGGACGAAGATTGGACGCGTCTTCTCGACCACTGGTCGCTACCCACGGACTACCTCGCAAGTCTAGACATGCTACCGACATTGCCATTCAAGTTCGATGCTGTTCGTCGAGGTATCCTGATTGACGACACGCCGCCTAAACGGCATTCGACTCCTTCGGGATCCATGGTCGGTACGGATTCGGCTTCTTCCTCTATGCTGGATTTGGTCCCATCTCTGCAATCGCCATCCGAATTGGACACGAATCGGCGCGCCCTCGCGCTCTTCGCTGTACAATCTACTACGCTGAGCCACCTTGCGGTAGTAATTAGGCTTCTTCGTGAAACAATCCGGAATTTTCCCCAGCTCGATCCTGTCTCGTCTACTGTCGAGAGCGTTCTTACCAGCCGCCTTCCCTCGCTGCTACACCACGTGCGCGAATGTATAAGCATTTCACGGAGCGTCCCGTTGGAAGTATTACTTGCTCAGGTATGCGACCTCTAACCAACTCAATATGGGAGCTAATTGATCATACTTAGCCGATGGATCCATTGTCTACTGTTGACCTGCAAGATCCCTCCGCCTACACGACCCTAAGTCTCCTTCGGCTCTTTGTCTCTCTGCACTTTGGCAAGCTGGATTTGCGCGCAAGGGCTCTCGCCTCGGCTGCTGAAGGCAATGCACATTCTGCTATCCAAAAACGCGCAACGGAGGAGGTGCATGCGCTGCGGAAAGTTATTTTTGAGGTTGCACAGAAGGTGATAGACGATACAGACGTTTTTGATCCTAGGACCCTGGTAGGTTTCACATTAAATTTACTATATTTGGGTCGCTCATGAGTCAAAAAGAGCAGCATAGCTCTCTCCGATAAGCTTCTAGGTCTCGTCAAATACTTGGGAGACGTAGTAGCCGGGGACATGTTCGACTATTCTGCCCTTCACGTGGTCTCCCGATGGCTTTTGCAGTGCATCTGTGGATCCCATCCTGACTTCAACGCTGTAGATGTTCACGTCAGGGCTCTGTCTGACATTCTTGCTCTGAGTTCCGGGACAGGATTGTCGGAAATATGGTCAGGGCTATCTCATCGTGTCAGTGCTGCACTCGACCTGGATAAGATACGCCAACTTGATGCTGCTGCGGAACATCTGTCACTTGAAATGAGGAGTACGTGTGCACAACCTTGTACTTCTAAAAATTTTCTCATTGACCTCCTAGGCCTGCGTCAAGACATCTTTCGATTGATAGCATTGCTGACTTTACCAGCTCCGTCGGGAGACGAGGAGAAAACCGCTCTTGATGCATTGATTTCAACGTTGGAAGTGGTAAGTGTTGGCTTAAGAGAGATTCGTTCACCACGTTCAATGAATCGGCAGCGACTCCCCGGCATCTGGTCAGCAGAAGCAAAGGATTCATTTGCCGTCATCAACCCCTCTTACCTCACACTGGAGCTCAGCCTTCTCTCGTCCATCACTTGCAAGTCACCTGTCGAAATACCGACAGTAGGCACTCGTTTTAAAAGGTCAAGTCGGCCACTGACGAAAAGCCGCATTTGTAGGACTTCGCAGAACAGACTCAAGCATTGCTGAATCTCGCATGTAACGATCCCGCAGTCCCACAGTCCACGTTTATCCACTTACAGCATTCCCTCTGGGCGCATGATGCCGGTTCTCGTACGTGCTATTATCGACTATGGTTTACTCAAACCTAAGCTTTCCCCGCAGTTTCCCTGGCACATATTGCTGACATACAGCGTAGTTGGCTTGATAGCCTTTGGTACACCTCTTGCTCGAATGATGTAAGGATGTTTCGCTTGTTACTCACGACTCTGCGTTTACTGTCAACGTTCAGGTTCAAGGCCCTTTGGCGCTTTTAAGCCCTGCAATACTACACAGCACAGTTATGCAATGGCGAGTTCTCTGGTTGTCTGTTTGTGATACCTGCTAATAGCTTGGTGCAGTGAGCGATCAGAACAGGCCCTAGATCAGCTTGAGGCCCACCAAGAAGGCCTTCTTCGGCAGTCTCAGCTCGTTGTCGCGAATGGACAATATGCTCACTCTCGTATCACCCAACTGCTGATTCTATTAACCCAGTGTATTCTGATGGTCCGTACTTCCTCGTCACGGCTCTCGCTTCCCGCTGATGCTCTCCATTAGATCTGTGGCTGCTTCCAGGATACATATGAAACCGAAGCGTTCACTACCACGGTATCTATGGCGGCTAGCATGTCGGATGATAGCGTCTTCGCACTCCTTCCTTCCATTGTGGTACGGCTCACACACACCAAACACGCTGGACTGTGCTCCGCCATCCAGAGCCACCTACGCTCAAGCATCGCGAAGCTACATCATTTCCAGGAGGTGCAAGCTCCGCACTTGATAGTCAGCGAATGCTGGGTTGCCTTTGGGCGGTTTTTGCTGCATTTGTTCGTCCCGGACACACCCATAGATCCAGCAGGTCTGAAACGCTGTTCGGACGAGTATTGGACGAGAGAACGGGCCATCATCGAGTCACAGCTGGATTTGCACAAGGCATTTGCTCGGCGCACACACGGTCACGAATCAAGTGGTACTATCCATTATCTCGAGTCTCTGCTTTCGGACATGCAGCCAGTGGAGAATGACCCACGGTCTTCTCAATCCCGTGCTGACCTTGGTCGCCTACACATGTTCTGGTCTGAAGTGGACCAGTTTATATCGCAGGTTCTCTCTGCTCAGAAGATCAGCTCATATCTCGCGATCGCGGCTTCCGGTGACCCAGCGGCTTCCATGCGAGAACAAGTCCTTCAGAAGTCTCTCGCGACTTTCTGCCAGAGGCTGCGTGCGGTGTATCCTGACTTCGCAGACGTGAATGCTCCTCTACAACATGCTCTCCTTGCCATGCGGCTCGGCTTACGGATCTCAATTGCTGCTCACCACAGCAACCCCGCCGTTCGGAATCCAAACGTCCCCCTTCACTCGGCATTGCTCGCTTTCCCGTCCGTTCAAAGCGCCGAGCTTCTGCGAGCCCACTCCTCGACAATGCCGGCATCGAACTCTTCGTTCACGGTTGTACTCACTCGACTTTGCGCTATATCTTACGAAGTCCAATTAAGCGGAGACGTCGAGAACTACTTGATGGGAATTGAGCGCATTTACGAGCAAGCGCTGGGCTTGTGGCTGGTTGACCAGAGCAGGGCCGAGGAAGCCGAGCGGCAAGCCCAGTCTCTCTACCGACGGAAGGACGATGGTAGTTTGAATGAGGCTGAGGAAGAGGAAGAGGATTTCCTGTCGATTTTCCCAGAATTCGAGGATATCTTGGATAGCGATGGGGCCGAGACACAGCAGAAGACACTGAAACGCAAGACATTGGTTGATTCCTCCACTACTGCTGCCCTGTTTGCGATACACCAAGAGCTCTTCCTGGCGGCAGGCTCGCGGCTTACCGCAGCGGCCACGCGTTTCCTGAACGAGCGTCGGTCGCTTGTCGTTACTTTGGTCGAATCTGAGATGGCGACCTGGGCCGATACCGTCGATGCAGACAGTCTTCCGTTCCAGGCGAGATTCCTACATGACCGCCTGTCTGCTCTGAGCCATATCCCTCGCCTCTCCGGAGGACCCTACGATTTCTACTTCGACGAGAACATACCCGAGGCGAAGAAGGCTGTTCAAACGATGCGCGCCCTCATGCAACGCCTAGAGGCTGTTATACGTGAATGGCCAGAGCAGATGGTTCTTCAGCACCTCAAGAACCGCTGCGAGGTCATCATGAACTTTAGTCTGCACAGTCCGTTGGCGAAAATACTCTCGGCCTTGGAACACCTTCTCGCGAACATCGATGACTGGGAAATGTACACCAACAGAGATAACAGTCTCAAAGCACATCAGCAAGCAATTATAGCTGTTGTAGTAGATTGGCGCCGCCTGGAGCTTTCTTCGTGGCAAGGCCTACTCGACAGTCAAGCGCGCGCCTTCGAAGCGGGCATATCAGACTGGTGGTTCCGTCTCTACGATACCTCAATCCGAGGCGTACTCAAGCTGGCGGAGGACGGTGCCGACGACACGGGGCGGAGCGATGCCATCACGGAGTTCCTCGACAAGCTAGTACCTCTCTTGGATGAATTCATGGTCTCTTCTCCTCTAGGACAATTCGTGTCGCGCCTGCGCTTGGTAGATTCGATGCAGATCTATGCAGACAAGTTGGCCAACTATCTCGGCGACGCTCGCGGCTCCGCACTCCAACGTGTTCACAAGGTGCTCTCCAACACTGCGAAGTACTACGATCAATTTGAAGTCAAGGTCACCGAGAGCCTTTCTAAACAGAGAAAGGTGCTGGAGAAAGATATTCGTGATTTCATCAAGCTGGCCTCCTGGAAAGATGTCAACATCCACGCTCTCAAGCAGAGCGCCCAGAAGACCCATCGCCAGTTGTATAAAGTCATTCGCAAGTTCCGAGAGCTTCTCCGTCAGCCTGTGTTGCCTCTACTAGAATCTGCAACCTCAAGGACCGCCGTCGCATCTTCCGGCGAAAATTTCGGCCCATCTGCAACACTGCAAGCCACTTATCCTCTTCCCGGACCTATCTTCCCAGTTGTGAGCGATGCATCACAGCCTGCGCACCTACAGAAAATCGACAGAACGTTCAGGAATTTCGACACTCTCGTATGCAATCGCTTAATATCGTTCGTGCAAGCGCATGACGCTCACACCGCGGGGGATCTCGCCGAGGACATCATCTCTGTCTCGAAGTCATTGGAGAGCGTGACGATCCCTACGAACCTGGACACAGCTCGAAGGACGAAGCTAGCGAAGAACCTGCTGAACCGTAAGCGCAAGGCGTGGAGCGATCTCTTGAAAGAGCTAAAACGAGCTGGCTTCTCCGCAAACGTCAAGCCCGAGATTCTTCAGCAAAACCACAGCAAGCGCCACCTTCGCGAACAACCTGTTTTGGCGTCTTCCGCACGCGAATATGGAGCTGTGGCAAAGAGCGAAGACTATTTGCATCGCGTTTCCGGCCTACTACCGCAGCTTAGACAGGCTCTATCGGATCACCATCCTGATTTGTCCACCCGAGAGCTGCAACGAGCTTTGATGCATATCGAGCATAATTTCTCAATCTGTCTACGAACGAGGTCTTCGTGAGTTTTTTGTCTCTTATCGTCAGATTGTATGCTCACGCCACTTCCAGCTTAGCGGATATTCTCAGCCAGTACAGCGCCCTCGACGCCATGTATCAGCGCCTGACGGCAATTCAGACTTGCCCAGATATTCGTCTTGGGGGTGGTAAAGCCATGGATATTGCCTTCGCTGCAAAGGACACTTCTCACAAGGTTATCGCCGTGCTCGATGAGCTTCTCGAGCATCTTCATGACATACAAGTCGACATCCCGAGCGTAACCATCCCTGCTGCGCTCCTGAACGAACTCTCCACGCTTCGTCTGGCCTTGACACCGATCTCTCGGGCCCTTCAAGAACTTGCAGCTAGGCTGCAATCGTCCGGATATCCTCTTATCCTACGCGGTACGTCCACTTCCCTTAGGTAGAAAGCAACATATCTCATGCCATTCTAGACGAGTATCACTCCCTGTTGTCCGCAGTGGAGGAGTTTACTAGGATCAGGGATTGCCTTCGTCGGTGGTCTACGGATTCAACACCCTTACTGTCTCGTTTCACCCGACCAGCCTTGACATGGCTTGAAGGCAAGACACTTCAGATACCTCACACCGCCAGGGACCAGGACATTACGACACCCCGCGAGGTCATTGACAGCATGCTTCTATCAGTGCAGTCTGTGCTTGTGATTTGCAATAATGTGCAGGAGGTGCAAGACGAGGAACGAGAGAACTACCTCCGCGACGACAGCTGGCTTATCTGCAGGCTCTCTGAGAAGCTTGGTGTCGGCCTTGTCTTAGGAGACCTCCAGTCGCTTCTGAAATATCTGACCCAGATCGGCTCCGATCAGGTGCAAACATCTGTGTCTCGCTTGTTACCCTTCTTGCAGCGGTACCTTGTCCTTGTCGAAGCTCAAGTCCGCAACCACGCGAACTGGTCGAAAGCGCTATTCAAGCTCAACCTCACGCTCTGCTCCACTGTGTGCACGATCGCTAAGGACGGGTTCTGCCAGCCGAAGGACACCGAGGGTACAGAAGAAGGCAGCGAAGGGCAGGAGACGACGGAGGGGACAGGTCTTGGCGAAGGGTCAGGAAGTGAGAATGTTAGCAAGGAGATCCAAGAGGAGAGTCAGGTAGAGGGTTTGCAGGGCGAAGAGGATCAAGCGGACGAGAAGGTGGAGCGAGCGGAAGAAGGGAGCGCAATTGAGATGAGCGAAGACATCGGCGGCGACATGCAGGATGTGCCTGAAGCAGAAGACGAGGGCGAGAAAGACGAAGAGGAGGACGGCAATGCTGATCCGGACGAGCAAATTGGTGATGTCGACCCTACAGATCAGAATGCAGTGGACGAGAAGCTATGGGGAGACGAGAAAGGGCCAGAGGACAAGGAGGATTCGGGGAAGACGGATCAGGATCATTCAAAGCAGCAATCGGGGCAGTCTGAGATGGCGGCGAAGAAAGTAGAGCAGGGTGGGCCAGAGAAGAAGGAAGAGGCGCAAGGTGGGGGTGACGAGAATCAAGAGCAGTCAATGGAAGACGAGGGCGAGGCACCGATGTCCGACGAGGAACCTGTCGGAGCCGACGGTGCGCCTATGGATGAGCACATTCAGGAGGCAAACGCTTTGGATCTCCCGGAGAACATGGAGATGGACCAGGATACTCAAGAGCAAGATGCTTGCGGCGACATAGAAGACGATCTCATGGATGAAGAAGTTGATGAGGAAAACGTGGAGCTGAGTGGAGACGAAAAGGCGGGCCAGGATGATTCGACGAGCGAGGACGACCACATCGGCCAACCGCAGGCGATACAAGAAGATATCAATCAACCTGAGGGTACGGTAGATGAAACCGAGAACGATGCAGTCGCTCAGGCTGACACGCACGCCGGCGATGGCAAAGGCTCTGGCGAGGAAGCCCCGTCAGCAGAGCCTTCAGGTGTGAAACCCGAATCGGCAGAGAGCATGGAAGACAGCTCGAGAGGTCGGCGAGGCCCCTCGGCAGGGTCTTCCGAGCAGCACGCTCAACATGCTGTCAAGTCCGAGACGTACGTCTTGTCTCTCAATTTCCACGAATAGCTAGCTGTACTGACTTCATTCCAGACCCCAAGAGGAAAATGACGAAGTGGAGATGGAGGAACCTTCTCGGAGCGAGGCCGCGGCAAGCTCAACTCCTCATAATGCTACCGGTAACGACGCCTCAGGGTCTCGTTCCGTCTATCAAAGCGAAGCTCGGCAGCAACCACTCGCGGCGAACCCTTTGCGAAACCTTGGTGACGCCTTGCGTGAGATCTCTCAGCGTTTTAATGAAATCTTGGAGGGTAGCCCAGAGTCCGCGGATCAGAAACAGGGCATAGACGATACCAGGCCCGCTCAGGTCGAACATGTGCAGGATGATGATACTCAAGAGGATATGCAAGCCCTCGGTCCAGCACGTCAGGACGAGGTAGCGAAGCTGCGCGAACTCGACCTCGTAGACGATGAGCAGGCGCCTGTGGACCCCGTCGCGATGGATGTCGACACAGAATTGCTAGACAAGCCGCAGCCAATTCAGCCCGAGCATGGCACCTTGTCTGCGCTGGAGGCCGAGGCGACCTCCGAGGCCATGAACTCGGCTGTTGAGAGCATCATGACATCGTCTGATCTCAATAAGTCTAGACTTGCGGGTGATGTAGGGATGCCATCAACACCTGTCGCAGACCGTGTCCTGAAAGAAGACGAGGACGAAGCCGATAGCAAGCTCGAGCTCGAGGTGCGAGAGTGGCAAGCGCGTGGCCAGCCGATCGACGATGCGGAACGCATTTGGCGGCGTTACGAATCTCTAACACACGATCTCTCATATGCTCTTTGCGAGCAGCTCCGCCTGATCCTTGAGCCCACGCGAGCAACAAGACTCAAGGGTGACTACCGCACTGGCAAGCGTCTGAACATGAAGAAGATTATTCCGTACATCGCCTCCGAGTACACAAAAGACAAGATCTGGCTGCGTCGCACTCGACCGAGCCAGCGCGAGTACCAGGTGCTCATCGCACTCGATGACTCACGCTCCATGGCGGAGTCGCACTCTGTCCATCTCGCGTTTCAGACGCTCGCGCTTGTCTCCAAGGCACTTAGCCGACTCGAGGTCGGTGACGTTGGCATCGCCAAGTTCGGCCAGACCGTCGAGGTCCTACATGGGTTCGGGAGTGGACCGTTCACTGACCAAGCCGGCGCGAAAATCATCGACGCATTCCGCTTCGACCAGAAGGCGACACAGGTGTTGTCTCTACTGGAAACCAGCCTTGCGATGCTCGAACAAGCGCGGGAGCGCCGGTCTGCGTCGTCCTCTACGGCTGCTGACCTCTGGCAAATGGAGATCATCATATCCGACGGTGTCTGCCAGGACCACGAGCGGCTTCGCACGGTTCTCCGTCGCGCCGAAGAGCAACGTGTCATGGTCGTCTTCATTATCCTGGATTCCCTTCATTCGAACGTCGCCGCGACTACCACCAACAGCGCAAATCAAAACTCGATTGTCTCAATGAATCAGGTTGCATACAAGGATGTTAACGGGCGAATGGAGCTATCCGTGACGCGCTATTTGGACACCTTCCCTTTCGAATACTATGTGGTGGTCAGAGATGTTGGGGCGTTACCGGAGGTGTTGTCGAGTACGCTAAAGCAGTTCTTCGAGAGGATCTCAGAGGAGTAGAATTGATTTGTATTTTTCCATGTTTATGTTTATGACAGCACGAGCAAATCATCCGCATTTTACAAAGATATCCGACAGCGGAACGAGCCTCGTTCAGCATCGGCTATTGGTGGTTGACACCAAGGGCTGAACGGGCCAAAGAGCTTCGTCTTGATTCTCCGAGAGAAGTAAAAGGGCGGAAGCGTGGGTAAAGTACGCGCTGTCCGCTCTTCGTGTGAAGACTGCGCAACGGATCGGCGTCGCGCAGATTGGCAACACCGTGCGTGTAGAGGGGATGACGAACACTGTCCGATCTCCTCCACACGACGATGTGCAACTTCAATCTCGGGAGGATAAAAATCTCTGTCACGCAAGTAGAGTGCAGATGATACAGGCACAAGTCAATTTGAGAGCAGAAAGCGAGACGGTGAAGGCGAAGTCGCCAGTAGATATTAGCCGCGTACGTATTATGGTGCAAGGGAAAATCTTTCTGCCCACAGCACCTTGCCGAGTCATTTGCCGCCCTCTAAACGGTCCACGAGCACAACAGGGACGAGCTCATTGGGGAGCATGGCTGCGGTCTACACAAAACATGAGCTCCACGCCATATTCTCAAGGTTTATGGAAGTAAATACATACCTTCTTCATGCGTTCCTCACCTCCTACCTCCCAACCACTTTCGGCCACGGGTAGCATGCAGCTACTCACCAGGTTGGTAATGAGCATGCCAATTCCGAAGCGCTCTCCAGAATACTTCCGCCATCGAACCATGTTGTTAAGGAGCTTCTGGCGTCTGGCGAGGAAACGTTGGCGAGCTGGGACCGATTCGGGGTCAAAGCGCGGCCGGTTCAAAGTCAGGTATGGCGCTACCGCTGTCTCCGCAGACTCGACCGCTCGCTGGAAAACGGTGAGCACCGACTTTAGAAGCGTCTATAGCGAATAAATGGATTTGTCACGTTGTGCGATAAGTGATTTAGCGCACCTGAAATTTCAGGCTGTCTCTCTCGGTAGAAGCTTCAATCTGCTCCGCCAGATCTATGAGATTTCGAATGTCTTTCGCCGAGTAAGGATCAAGAGCGCCCCCGTCTACTAGCTTGCACACCCGTGGAATGATTGCGGTACTGATCATGGCCGAGACAAGATCACCGTCGGGACCCAATTCGGGTTCTTCGTCATCCTCGTCATCCTCGGCATGTCGTGGACGGGAATATCCGTATAGTGACTTGTACCATGAGAACGTGTCCAGGCTTCTCTTGTCCTGCCCAATATATCAGCTATGGTGGATAACTACGACAGCCGGAATCTTACCTCAAGAGGGTCCCAGCCTAAGATTTCCAATCTTGTCCAGAACTCCCAGCCGCTTATCATGCCAAGCCCTCCCCAGGCTCCAGTGTAGCTATCTCCGAATTTCTCACGCCACTCTCCGAACCACTTGCCCAAGCCTTGGCTAGGTTCTCGGAAGTCCTTTGCTCGAACGTCTGACAGGACGTCCTGACCCTTGTTCAGTAGCTTGCTTATTGCTGTCTGGAAATCTGCCGCGTCGGATGGTGGCAAAGTTGCGTCGGTTGAATAACCCTCCTCTTCTTGGGTTTGATTCTGCGCACGTCTCCGGAGTCGCCGACCGCTACGAGCAACTGTCCTGTCTCGCATTAGGGCAGTAGAGTTGGCTACTGGAACAACTCGACCTAATTCGTCTATTTCTTGCGACTGTGGTGGTGCAGGCAGTGACCCAAGGAACAGTGAGAGGTCGTCATCATCATCGACTCGTCTTCGCTGGGAGATTAGATCGTATCGTTCTTGAAGGAGTGAAACGTGTTCCTCCTCCAATTTCTCCAGTTGAGGGTACTAACCAGTCTCGTGAGCAGTCATGACTGTCTGCATAGCACAATTAGCCTACCTTCTCGTCCAGAAAAGTCGCGATGTTCTCCACCCATTCTCTGAATGCGGCAAACCAGCTTCGCTTATCTTCCGTCTTCACAATCATCTCTCGCATCTCTGTCTCCTTTTGCTCCAGCTGTACACGCTCCTGGGCGAGAGAAGCCATAGATGCAGTGTTTTGCTGATGTGAGGTAGTAAGCGATGTGAGCGAACCTTTGAGTCGGGCGACCGCTAAGTCCAGGTCGGGGATCGGGGCGTTCGTTGGAACTAGAAGTGAACTGGTTAGAACTAACGGCGATCTCACACATTAGAAGATGTCGTACTAGGTGCAGGCTTGTAGACAGGCTTTGCTGCTTCTCCCTTAACTTCGTCTACGTACGTTCCACCGCGGCGTAGCTGTTCAGCCTCCCATTCCATAGTTTCCTCGTCTTGCTCCTCCCTGTGATTACATTGATTACAACCATACAGTCTATATGAACAATAGCACTCACGCTTCCAAAATTAACTCACTCATCTCTTCTCTACGCTTCCGAGCCTCCACCTTCTTGGATTTTTTGCCTAGAGCAATGCGTTCTTGTGCACTAGTGTACTCAGCATATTCTGTACGACCAGCAATTAGCTGATCGCTAGATAGTCGTTTAAAGGCCTGTCGTACCGTCATCGCCCTCGCCCAGCTCGTCTTCCTCTCGCATTAGACGGCTTTCGGGATGTGGACCCTGAGGTATATCACTGTGCTTAGTGACCGATAAGGAGATGAAATCTTCATCTGCAGTTGTGCGCATCTTTCTCAGCCGGTCGCGTTTCTCCTTCGCGGCTTGTACGGCAGAACTTGACAGAATACTCGCTTCTGTGTCTGCATCTCCTACAGGATGGTCGTTTCATATCAAGGGGTAGAAAGAAATTACTTACCAGTCAAGTCCACTATTGAGGCCAAGGATGATTGAGCCAACGTGTCTGCGGCAAGAGAGACATCCGCGTCGTACGAAATAGAGTCGTCATCCTGGAGCCGAGGGCGTGTTGAGGGCGTGCTCGCCTTGAGCTCAGAAAGATATTCAGCACTGTACGTCGGAGCACCATTCGTCCTTGCCGGAGTGGAGGTAGGATCGAAAGCAGCTGCAGTCGCGTTCCTGGCCGTTGGTGTTAGTAGGATAGACATATGAGAGATTATAGACCGACTCAGACGGAGATTGGCGGTTCAGCGTAAGCTTCTTGCTGAGACTAGACTTCTTGAGCTTGAACTCTTCCTCTTCGCCCTCCTAAGTGAACGGCCCATCAGTATATGCTCCGAGATGTCGATGTGTGCCTCCCACCTCCTCGACACCAAAGCTAAGCCGGGTCTTTGGCTTAAGACGAGACTTAAGCTTATTTTTAAGCTTCGCAGCAAGGGCACTGGGAGATTCGTCACCACTACCTGCTGCAGCCTCTGAACCAGGCTCACTGTTCGCGGTCGCATCAGACTCGACTGCGCGAGCTCGCTGGGCAGGTTTTGCGCCTTTCCGCTTGAATATAACCGGCGAGTCCGACATAGAAGACTGAATAACGTCGCTAGGTGTGCAAGATACGAGTAAGTTTAACCTCAGACACAAGCTCGTTGTCGACGAGCGTCGAGCACTGACTTCGAGGGTCGCGGCAAAAACGTCACGTGCCCAATGACTTTCACACGCTCGCGCGAAATTCCCACGCTCACGCTTAATTGCAAACCGCGATGTCGACGCGCCCGGCCCCTCGCCCCCGACCCCGACCCCGCCCACAGACAGTGACCACAGAGCCTACGTCGTCATCGCCAGGCGCATCAAATACGCCGCAGCCTACCCCACTTGAGCCAGTTAGCATCAATGTCAATGCCGAAGATGAAGATGCGCTGTTCTTCAAGAACCGGAATCGGAACCCACAGTCGTGGATGAGGTTGCGCAAACTGGCCGAAGGTTTGCTTTAAAGATCGTATATCGCGTCGCAGCGATTGAAACAGATGTGCAGAAGCCGAGATTAAAAAGCCGAAATCAACATCGAACGAGGAGTTAGAAGCTATAGTTGTTGAAACCACGCCTAAGCGAAAGCAGAAGAACAGTGGAAAGGCTGACGCCGGCTCCCTACCTGCTTGGGCTAAATCGGAGGACGCTATTGTGTACGTTCAAGCTCGCATTGCATTCCCTTTTAACGACCATTCGCTAGTGTGCTGTCGTCAGACGAGGAGGATGAAATCCTTAGGCGGATAGACAAGGTCACCCCAACAGCAAAGCGTATCGCTCGTGGGGAAGGTACCAAGAGGGCAAACAAGAAAGCCAGGAGCCGCTCCCGTTCACTCACTCCCCCACCCGCTCTACTTCCTTCGACGGTACAGCAAGCGCGGGAGACGGTCAGGTGCGTGCCGTTTAATTCCTGTGTATATGCCCTAAATAGCTGCCAGGCGCATGTTTGGTGTTGCACCCCGTGCTCCTTCACCGACTGGACTTGGGGATGACTCCATTGATGGGATTGAACTCGATCCTGAGCTTGCTGTAATTGCAAATACGGCAAAGATGGAGGTCCAACGTCAGATGTCTTCCACGCCCGCCTTCGGTGCTGTAGGCAGTCGCAGCCCAAGCCCAATCCGCGGCGGTGGGCCTGAAGTAGTACATATAAGAGTTCGCTGGGTTAGCCACCCGCTGAATCCCGAACCGAGGCGGGTTGTGTACGAGTACAAAATGAGACGAGTGCGTTGCTTCTTGCATCTACTCTTACAATACCCTCACATACTCTCTCAGAGCGATTCCTTCAGAGAAATGTTTGATGAGACTGCAGATTCCGCTGGGGTGCTGGCAGACCACCTTATCATTACATACGAAGGCAAACGTATCTTCCCTTCGGCATCTCCTCATGGCATTGGTGTGTGGGATGAAGCTATTCTAGGTATGTGCCATGGTAGAAAGATATGAATCTACGATACTTACTCTGCGCCCCCAGAGGGATACGACAAGGCCACATACGACTACATTCGTACTCATCGCCACACTACTCCCATGGCTAGTGAAGACGATGCCGGTGCAGACACTGGAGAGGCTCGCACCCAGTCGGAGGCACCGTCTGACGCTGTTTCTGACGATGATAACGAAGAGAAGATAAAGCTCATCTTCCGTTCGGCAGCAACTAAACCCATCACTCTTACCGTTCGGCCGACTACCAAGTGCAACACTATTCTGAAAGCGTTCCTGAAGCGCGCTGGTCTGTCTGACAAATATCCCGCCTCACCTATCAAGAAAGGACGCAAGGGCAAGAACGCTGCGTCTGCTGGACCTGCCTTGATGGTAGATGGTGAAAGACTCAGTCCTGATGTTGAGATTAGCACCGCCGAGTTGGAAGATGGTGATCTTGTGGAGGTTGTCGGTCTCTAGGCTTTTCTGGACCTGGTCGGTATTTATTAATGCTCATCAAGCATCTGGTCGTTCTGGTGCATTTGTGTTTTGTGTTATTACCGTACTGTATACTGTCATATTGCTATCTTATGACCTGATTATTATGCTGTAGCGGACTGTGGCACTGAGTCCTAAGTGTAACCGCAGGCGTCTAAGCGGCCATTTCACGCGCGACTCGGTCGCGTTTCCCTCTGGGTCACGCTTCTCACTTTGCCCACCATCTCGCTACACCATCGCACCCAACACCCACTTCCCTGATATCCACGCGCTACAAAACAGTATGGTCGCTGATCCTACAAACTTCTCGCTTCAAGGTCGTGGGCTGAAGCTTGATACCCGCAAAGACATTGTACCACACCTTGCAGAGTACGATCCTGAAGTGGTCGAGGAAATCCACTTCGGCGGTAACACCATCGGTGTTGAGGCCGCGCAAGCATTGGCCGAGTTCCTCGAGAAGACGAAGGTCCTGAAGGTACGTTGTACCGTTGAATGATTTTATGTCGCCACTGAAGCTCATATAGTAATCTTCCCGATCGCGTCTAGGTAGCCGATTTTGCAGACATTTTCACGGGTCGTCTCATCACCGAGATCCCGCAAGCTTTATCTGCGATATGCGATGCGCTGAAAGACAAGACATCACTCGTTGAGATCAACCTGAGTGACAATGCCTTTGGCGGTCGCTCTGTCAATCCCATGGTGCCGTTGCTCACCACGAATCGCTCCTTCCAGATCCTTAAGCTGAACAACAACGGCCTCGGCCCTGCGGGTGGCGCGGTCATTGCAGATGCGCTCCTACAATCTGCACTGCTTTCGAAGAAGGAAGGCACGCCCTCGAACTTGCGCACCGTGATCTGCGGGCGGAATCGCCTCGAGGATGGTTCGGCGAGCGCATGGGCGAAGGCGTTCGAGGCGCACGGTGGGCTCACCGAGATTCGCATGCCACAGAATGGCATCCGAATGGACGGCATCTCCGCCCTTGTGCAGGGCATCTCCGCCTGCAAAGGCCTCGAGCTCCTCGACCTCGAAGATAACACCTTTGGCAGGCTTGGCTCGAAGACGATGGCGGGGGTACTTAAGCGCTGGCCGAGCCTGCATACTCTCAACCTCTCCGACTGCCACCTGACGAAGGAGGGTGACATCTCGCCCATTGTCGAGATCCTCGCGGACGGCTCGAACCCGAACCTGCACACTTTACGCCTACAGAACAACAATTTCGAGACGCAGACGTACCAGCTCCTCTCGGGTGGCATCGAGTCCGGGCTTGGTATGCTCAAACTGCTCGAATTGCAGTGGAATGACATCGAGGAGGAGGATGAGGGTCTTGAGATTCTATCCCGTGTCCTCAAGGGCCGCGGCGGCAAGCTCGTTGTTGATGATGAGGAAGAGGAAGAAGAGGAAGCCGAAGAAGAGGGGCGCAAGCCGGACCAGGAGTCGAAGTCGCCCATTCCGTCCGAGCCGTCTTCGCCGAAGCAGCCCGCTGCGAAGGCGGAGGACGATAAGCTGGCCGACATGATGAGCAAAGTCTCTATTAAGTCCTAGAGTCAAGCGTCGAGCTGGAACAGAAACGTCCATTGTATCTATAGAACCATTCAAGTGGCAAGTTCCAATGTGTACAGGATAGAGCAGTGTTCAACCGGGAGTAGGATCACTAATTCTAATTACAAGTGTCCAGGCGACCAGGCACTTAGGAAGCCATAGAGCCAGTTTCTACTTGTCTAGACTGAGTACTGGATATGCAGTCCGTGTCCGCTAAGTTGATGTCATTTAGCCTGCTAGGTGGCGATCTCTGGAGATTTGCGCCTAGCGAAGACGTGTATGTGCGCCAAGCCAGGGACGCTTTGTAGACGCTACGCGAAGCACGATGAGCATCCCAGCTGAAACAACGTATGCGCCATGACACTTACCGGGGGATTGACAAACCATGCAGTCTCCCACTCATGTTCGTTCCACTTCTCCTTGATGAACGTCTCAATCTCCTCGCCCGCCTGCCTTACAAGCTGCTCCTCTTCATCCGAACCCTTGGGCGAACGGATGAGCTTCTCCATCGTGATGCCCCAGTCGGCGAGTAAGGGAAGGTACGTCGGCAGCAGTGACGGCGATGGCGGGGGTGCCGTTATGCCCGTGAAGCCCCAAAGTCCGTCCTGGTTCACGCGCGGGACGATGGGCGGTGGGAGATCGGTCGAGATCGCAGGTATGCGCGTCCAGATGAGAGCATGTTCGACCTCGGACGGGACTGTAATAGGAACCGTCAGAGTTCAACATGCCTCGACGAACACACGCCGCACGCACCAGAGTAGGGCCAGTCGTTCATGATGATGCTGATCAGCTCTGGAGGGGTATCGGCTGTAAAGTATGGCGGAGCGTTGGGCGGGAGTTCTAGGTCGGCCTGCTGCTCGGCTTGCGTGTCGTCGTCCAAGGTTTCCCTCGGGGTTGCTAATCCAGGTAGAGAAGAGGGAAGCAAGGATAGTCTATCGGGCTTGCCCCATTGTAATCTATAGGTCTTGAGATAGTTCACTATTAGTTTGTGAGACTCCTTAGGCTACGCGCGATGCGGCTAGAAGTTACGCACCCATAGATCCATACTTTGCTCTAATCCCTACTGCCCAGGCATCATACCGCTTCTGGAGCGCCTTGTCCCGCTTCAACAGGCCCAAATCGCTTTGTTCTAGGTAGTCAGCATCCTCGATTTCTAACGCACACAGTGGAATCGCTCACCCAGAGTTGACGAAGCATTTCAGCTGTTGCCAGGTAAATCGCGCCGGATAATGGACGAGGAGCTCCTCACGCGTCGGAGGACCCTCGCGTAGGGGAACGTCCCCGGGCTTGAGAGGTGTCGCAGTGACCTCGAGGGTCTTCGCGGCAGCGAGGTCGATGGTCATCTCATCGAGCGGGTAGAGATAGCAGGCACCAGAGTCCGGATCGCAGTAGATCATGGGAAGGACGAATGACGGGCAGATCACCGAACGTCACGCATGGCGCCCGTTCTTGACCAGCTTGACTTTTGACTACCAGCATGCCGCCGCGACCCAGACAACAACAACAGCAGCAGCAGCAGCAGCAACAGAGGACTCAGCCGATCAGAAAGTATGAACCACCTGCGAAAAGGCGCATGGAGCTTGTGGCTTCTGTCAGTCGTAGTAGTGGCCTGGAGAAGGATGGAGACGCGTGAGTGGCTTGTCCGCTATCGGCGAGGATTGGTCATAATATTTCTTAGCATATCAGACTGAGAGACTTTAAGCTACAAGAAGAATATCGTCAATTCATACAGGATAAGGTCTGTTTTTACAGCCTAGCGTCCAGACCCTTCGATGTAAATCACGCTGCAGGTCAATAATTATTGGAGGCGTTACCCTTGCGGACACGTGCCTGAAGATACCAGACACCGAGATGAAATGAGGGGAAATATCTGTATCCTTTTTCGTGCGTGGAAGAGATCGTTGAACCGAAAGGGAGCTGACTTATGCCCTACTAGGAAAGCTCCGTGAAGGGATTCTGTCAACAAAGCGCAGCGATGCATTCGCCCTCGAAGGTAAATCAGGTAAAACGGAGAAAAATAGCGTATTGACCGGCCTACTCCAGTCTACGAGACATCAATGTATCTCTCGATACTCTTCTCCTCTCCAAAGGACACAGCGTCCGTCGTATCCCACCTCATTCCCGGCATGTACAAAACGCGTTCTTCCCTGCCAGAGACGTGTTCGATGGCTGTGACCGCGTCGCTCTTGTACTATCTTGTCACAGCCTATCCGTCGCAGAGCCGGTACTTTGAACATCTGGGCTTGATACCGAAAGCCTTACTTCGTGAAACCACCAGGAAATGGCTCCGGGAATTGACTCGCGCTCTTCGGCAGCATGATTATGCAAGAACAGAGCAGCTTGCAGGACGCGGCGCGATGGAGATAGCCCTGGGTATTGATACAGCCGGGATTCCAACATCGAATGAGCCACAATCTGGTTCTCCACCCGACCTAGCCATCGAAGCTCTCTATGACCTTCTGGATTCGCTGCGTTCGCGCGCCCGGGATACCACTTGGACGATTCTTCGGAGCGCATATCGAGAGCTATCGTGTCCCAAGCCCAGCAATGTTCCTGCATCGATAATCACCCGAAACTGGCTTCTTCAATCTCTCCTGCTACGAAGTGTTGCGTCCCATTGCGATAAGCGCGATGACGAATCTTTACTAGACACTTGGATTCAAGAAAGGGTTTCACGCGCAGAGCTGAGGCCCAAGGACGGCGCTGAAGGGCGGTGGATTGTTTGCAAAGTCAAAGCATGACGGCTTGGGCGAGGTATGTACATTGTACGTGCATTCGCCGGAAGTCGAATTCGTGACTGACGGCCTCCTTCAAGGCTGGTCAATCTACTCGAGATTCGATGCAATGAGCGGATGAGTCGCGATCTGTAACTCCAGCTTGTTTCTGGACCGTGCCAAACTCGCGAGATTTGTCTCGTGTCGATTTGCGTTCGTCGAGTTTTACATTCCTCCCACGTTGTGTGTAGGGTTATGTAGAGATATATTCTTCTTTCTATGTCTTACCGATAAATACCGAGCTTGGTAGCCAGATAGCCGGATATGACTGTGCTGTACCAGAGTTTGAATGTACTTCGATTGCGCGCGTCTATGGAGGTGGTGAACAACTCTGCACTCGTATCCTGCTGTGCGCATCTCTTTCCTTTACTCATACATACTTAACTGTGTGCCCCACCTCACGCTCTCAGAGCCCACCACCGGCTACTTCGATATTGTCCCCTGAGACTCGAGTCTTGCCAAGTTCCATGACGAACCCCGAGCCAGCATTCGATGTGATTTCTCGTGTCTACAGAACAATGGCAAACAAAGCGCAGCTGGCTGTTCTCCAGGGTCTGCATGAACGTTCCCAAGGATGCGCCACGAAAAACGATATACTTTGGGCGGCGCAAGAAACCGGGTTGTACGTGTTGTACTAGACATAAGCGTCATCCCTTTCGGCACCGTTCGATTGACAAAACTCCTTTCCGTCGCAGAGAGGTCAAGTGGATACGCAAATGGCTCAGCCGCAGGCGTTGCAGAAGCAAGTCCAGAACAGTTAGCCCAAGCGAAGTGCCCCAGCCGGACTCTCCTAGCGAAGACTCTTGTTCGATCTTCGATTTCTTACTCTCAACGGCACCTCCTGATTCTGTGCCCTCTCGTCCGGAATGTGTGCGCTCATTCTCTGCTCCGACACTGCCTACGTTGTCCACTCGCAGTCAAGACCAACCACTATGGGTACACGCCGATGAGTTCCATGTGCAGCAGGCAGGAGGTCGTGAACGCCTTGCTACAGCTCCGCATCCTGTGGCCTACCATCCCTCCACGTTCACTTTGCCTTTCGCGGATGCGCCATCAGCTGCCAGCTCGTATGCGCCCTCTGCCTCGCTTGCAATAGAGTTTCCGATGGACCTACATGAAAATTCTCCACTTCGCGACGGCACATCTTCCGTCCCCGAGGAACAAGGACACACGCCGTCCCTCGACATCGACAGCATCACGAATCTTATCAACAGCCTCCATGAAGTCGCTGGAAGCCCTGTGCCGCGCACGGAACCTGAGCTTTGGCCGGCCCCCTCCTTGACGCCTCTGCAGGCTGGCATGCTCTCTGCTCTAGGACTTGAACTAGCTGCACCTACTACCTTGGACGTCCTCTTTGCGTCTAGTCTGGGAGTCTTAGAGCGTCCTCTGCCTCCTGCTATCTCTGTGTCTGCTACCGAGCATCCTTGCCCTGTCTCTTTCCGAGTGCCCCTCACGGAGTTGGCTGCGACGTCTACGGGCCTCAGATTCGAGAACGATGAAGACTTAGATAGAGAGATCGAAGCGAGCGTCGGCTCAGCGTCGCCTGGTGCGTGTTTGTTAGTTGTACATGCAACCATTTATCTCACCAGCATATACAAAGTACCGGACCTGACACGCACGGAGACGGCCACCCCCTTCTCCGACGCGGAGTCCCCTCTCATTCCGAAGTCTATAGACGTCCGGGAGGAAGAAGAGGACGAAGAGGAAGAGGTCGCGACCCCTGACGACGTATGCGCATTGACGACTTTTCTGTCTCATCCTCTGGGAAAGACGCCCCCAGGATTGTGCAGCGAAGCAGAAGGGATTCTCGTGGTGTTGTAACAATCTCAAGCATCAGCTGTGTCCGACGAACGGCTTCATACCTTATCCTAACGCTTTCTTTTAAATGCATGCGCATAGCTCTGAAGTTCACTCAATCATCCTGTACGGCATACCAGCATTCGCTTTCCACAATTGACCCGTCTAGAATTGACCTAATATTCTACGAATACAAATATTGCTCGTGTAGAATCGTGCCCTATCCTCAATAGCCCTTCACGCCTTCCCCGAGGCGCTGCCCAAGCCAGTACCTGTAGATCTGTCTGCCAGAGGCGGCCCAAAGTGACAGGCCATTCCCGCCCGCGCCGCCGCCGCCGCCGCCCTCGGTCACGCATATGGCAGTGACCAGGTCGCCGAACGTGTGCCGCAGGAGCTGCGAATGCTCCAGGTCTGACGGTGCCGGAGGGTGCGCGGGCGGTGTGACCGGCTCGCCGCTCTGCAGCGACCAGGCGCGGATCCGGTTGTCCTGGCCCGCGGCGAAGACGTACGAGGCGCAGGGCGAGGTGGCGATGCCCTGGGGTGCGCGCGTGAGTGCGGGGAGCGGGAAACGATGGCGCGCACAGGGTACGCACGAGTCTCGGGTGGTACGAGTTTGTGTGCCCGTAGTATTCTACCAGGGGTGTCGAGTGCCGCGCGAAACGCAGGTCTAGCAGTTCGAGCTGCAGAGGCACGGTTAGGCGCGGAGATGGCGCTGCAAGACAGACACATGCTCACGTCTCCTTTGATGGTGCTCGCAAGCAGCTGTGTCCCGTAGACGACGCTGAGGTGGGTGACAGACCGGTTGTCGTCTCGGAACTTGCCGTTGAAGAGCTCCTGGCCTTTCTGCCGCGAGTTGAGACGCTTGTCGAAGCACTGTATGGAGCCGTTGCGCGCTCCTGTGTATATCACATGCTACCGAAATGCTGAGCGCTGCACGCCGCGGGGAGGAGAGATATCTACCTCGGACTGGTAGACGGACAGGACGTCGCTGCCCGTCTGCAAAACGTCGAAGCTCCATCCTGCCTGGATGTCGGAGAGCAATATTCCGCGGCGCGCAGAACCTGAGAAAGAAAAGTTAGTTTGGCTCGCGTGAAGGCGTCTGAGGGTGGCCTTACCGAGGACGAGGCTTTTCCCGAACAGATGTGCTGTCTGGACATCATGACAACGATGGTCACCGATACTGATGATATTCCAGATCCTACGAGAGGGTGAGGGATACCATAAGCATGGCTGGAGGTTGTAGGGCGTACTCAGCGTCCTCCACGATATTCTCTACAGCAATCTTGCTTGAGGGTCCAAACGAGACGGCTCTGATCAAAGAAGTGCGTCAGAAAACTGGAGTCGGATTGAGAAGCTCTGAAACATACAGTCTGTGTGTTTCAGAACGACACACCGCGGTAACCTCAGATCCAAGATACAGTTCTCTCGAGCCACCGTAAGGGTACCCAGGTTTGTCTGTCGTATACGTCTGCAGCCATCCGCCCTTGTCGCCGGTAGACGCGACGAGGGATCCGTCAGCCTCCACTGCCACCTGGACAACATGGAAGTGCATCATGAGTGCAACGAGTTGTGTGAACGAATAGACCCGCACATACATCCATGGACGAGAATATACAATCCCCATGCCAAAACGGCTTCCCCTCAGACATCGCGCCCAGGCTGTGAGTCATGACTTTACTTTCCACATCGCATCGTCAGGCACGGACGCCAATGCCAGTGCTTCCACACTCACTTTGCGTATGCCCTTATCTGCGCATGGCTTGTGCTCAGACGCAGCCCTTCGCCCATGAGACCTCGGCTGACAGAGCCGTCAGGAAGGAGCACGTCCACCCTACGGCGCTTTCTTGGGGGCGGAGAAGGAGCATCTGGTTTCGCATTCCAGAGCGTCTGAGCAGCTACCGCAGCTAGGGCAGAAGCTGTCCTCGAGCTTCCGTGAGGAACGGGATTACTCGGACCAGCCTGGGTGTGGGCGGCGGGGCGGGACGAGAGGGGAAAGTAGCGCTTGCGTTCTTCGTCCCAGTAGAACCCGGGGAGATCGCGAGGCATAGCTTGGGCTGTCTATATAGGTCTATAAGCGCTCTAGAGAAATAGTCGCGGGTAGCGGATGGGGGTCGGGAGACGGGAGGAAAGGCGCCACAGAGGTACCCTTCGTCTCCACGTGGCGGCTGACGCCACGAAGTCGTCGCTTATCAGATAGAAACCTGTATCCGCCATATTCCATGGACCATCCTTTGATATTGTCAATATCCCTCGCCACGAAGTCGGTGGTGTTTGGGGACCTCAAAAGCAGTAGTTTGGTCTGCCGGCGAAGAAGCCTTGTCTTGACTCGACCTATCCGGTTCTTTCGCGCGCAAAAAATACACGCGCAGACAAGAAATATCACATCAAATACGTAGATATGGATAAATTGGGGCTAGCATGTAGAGCATCGAGTGTCCGTTGGCTTATACTCTACTCAGCAGACTTCTTTTCCGAGCTGGGAGCCTTGCCCTCGTCGGACTGCTGCTTCGCGTCCTTCTTGTCTTCCTCACCCGCTTGCTCGTCAACCTGAGAAGAGGTGTTGGGGTCCATGCCAGCCTATGGGGGTATCCTGAGCAGCAGTTTTCTCGCCGCTGGTTCTGGCACTTACCTTTGAGCGCTCCCGAGCATCGCCCACGTCACGAGGGCCTTTGTGCGACGTCTCCAGTGCAGAGGAGTCCTCCTTATGCTCGGTGTCCGCATGCTGTGCGACGTTCGGATCGTAGTCTGTCGTTTTCGCGGCATCGTGAGTCTCGGGATCCGCGCGTTTGGAAGTTTCTGCTCCGGCGTACTGAGCAACCTTGGGAGCGTCCTCCTCCTGACATAGAGGTAAGTAAAGCGGAGGATGAATACATCGAAGAGGACGCACACGGACCTTGTTCGTTGCTTCAGCGACCTCCGAAGCGGGAGTCTTGTTGCCCTCATCATCGGCAATACCCTGTTTTGAAGTTAGTGCGTGGCCCCTAGTAAACGTGACAGAGCCCCCGGACGTACCTCCACTGCCTGGTCAGTCTCGGGCTTACGAGGAGTGCTCTCGGTGTCCTCACCGGCAGGGACGGGGGCACGCGCAGGGTCGGGAATTTTATGTTTGGGAAGAGCAGCATCCTTGGCTTCGTGCGCCTTCTGTGCAGCAGGTGGCGAGAGGAGGTACGCAGCCTTTGATCAATGAACTCGCGTGAGCGGACGTCGGACGCCAAGGAAAAAACCGGGGACGCACTGTTGGGCCGAAGATGAGAGCAGAGACAATCTATTCCCGTAAGATCTCTGTATTCAGCACATGTCTAACACATAGGATGCGGCTCGTACTATCCAAGGCCTGTCGCTTGTAACGTGAGCTCCAGGTGGGAGAGCAGAGCTCATGGCACGGCGGCCGACATTACGACCAGCGACACGGGTCGCAGGACGCGCAATTTTATAAAGGAGTGTGCGAGGAATTTGGAACGACATAACCGCGCGAGAGCAGAGATGTGGGGAAGTCGACTGTAGCTGGCGTCGGTTCGACTTCCAGCGAGCGGGGACTTGGCGGCGCTCTTGCGGAACGAACCGGTCAAAATGACGTATAACGCAGCCAAAATCGTAGAAAATAACTCTAAGGATATGTGATCGTTGGCGTCCAGAAGCCTGCCTAGCTCAATCGGATAGAGCGTGAGACTTTTAAGCCGCGGGTTAATTGCTTAGGTAATCTCAAGGCTGCGGGTTCGACCCCCGCGGTGGGCTAATGTTGGATCTTCTCTCTTTGACTCTTTCTTTTGTTCGATTTCATTTTTCCTTCCCCGCCTTCGGTCTTTGAAGTTGTTACTTGTTAAGTACCTCTCTTAGAATCTCTTTTCCTCCTCAAAGACAAGTTTCAAGCCAGGCCGAAAGCATGA